AAAAGATTACAACAATAACTATACTTATAGGTATAACTAGGGTACACTACATGAAGTGAGCTAAGCCCAAATAACCTAGGTTTTAGGGTTTCAACAGTCCCTTCAAGCTAGAGCATATATATTATAGGCACTAAGTTTGTTACACATGTATTCTATTTTAGGAACTCGAAGAGCCTTTGTTAAAGCATACGCGAGCTGATTTGTCGTGTTGACATAACTTATGATGATTTGTCCTTTTAAAATCTTCTCTCGTATGCAGTGACAATCATCCTCAATATGTTTAGTCCTCTCATTAAATATTGGGTTAGATGCGACGTGTATTGCAACTTGATTATCGCACATCAATTACACTAGTTTCATGCTTCCGTATCTCAATTCTTGAAGGAGGTGTTTTAACCATAAAATCTCACGTGTAGCAAGAGCCATTGCACAGTACTCTAAATCAATACTTGATTTTGCAACATCATCTTGTTTCTTACTCTTCCATGGAATCAAGTTGGACATCCAGACTAGTCAACATCACAGTATCCAACAATGTTATTATGGCCTTGGTCTTCGTAAAGTAAGTTTTGACTTGACGTTTTGTTTATGTATCTCAAGACTTGAGTAGCTGCATCTCAATGGCCATGACATGGTTGATCCAGAAACTGACTAAGCACACTTACAACAAAGGAATTATTTGGTCTCGTAATTGTGAGATAGTTCAACTTTCCTATGAGTCTTCAGTATGATCTAGTAAAAGCTCCCTTGTTCATGTAAGAGTTTGGCATTCAAATTCATCGGTGTATCTATTGGTTTGCACTGCAACATACCTGCTTCCTCAAGAATATCCAACACATACTTCCGTCGAGACATAACAGTACCATTGGGAGACTGCACAACCTCAATACCAAGACAATACTTTAGCTGACCCAAATCATTTGTTTGGAATTTGCTAAAGTGGTATTCCTTGAGTTGAGTGATTCCCTGTTCATCATTACTTGTAATGACTAATGGCAATGTCTTTTTTTTTTTCCATTCCCGGAGCAACCACACAAGGTGGGGGAGTGCCGGGGAACACTTCCCAATTTTATTAATTAAAAGATTGAAATTACAAGAGAATTAATCGGAAAAAAAGCTAAGCGAGAACAGAATTAAATAAAATTGCAAGTACATAGACTAGCAATTGAAGTTTTGTGTGGGAATCCCTATTGAAGTGGAGAGAGTCCTGTTGTATTTGTTGTGAAATCTGATCGCTTTCTTTAGATATGGTGGGTAGGTTTCGGCCTCGAGATGTGTGGACTTGTAACGTTTTAGTGCTTCTGCCAGTTTTTGAGGGGAGTCAAATCTCATGTTAACCGGGTACAGGTAGTAGTCTGAGTCATTTTGTGGGTGACGGGACCGGCTTCTTGTGACCATGGGGTGTGAGCTATACCCCACCTCGTAAAATAATTGAGGTCTTTCTGTTGTAGGAATCTGGACAGGACTCTTCTGTTTGCTTTTTCTTCTATTTACCTCCGTAAATCCGTCTGAGCATTCTTCCACATCTGTAGCTTGAATATCGGTACCTGGAAAATCATGAATAGTATTGTCCTCAGAAATGATTTCATCATTGGACGAGATGGGATCAAGTGTAGTATCATTCTGGGAATAAGAAATGATTACATCATTTCCAAAAGGAGCCTCAAGTTCATCATCGGCGAAGGGGGTAGTGTGTTGAACAACCGCCATGGTTACCGCCTTTTTACAGGTAGCCGCCATGGGTTGTACAGAGCCTTCCATGTCAGAGGAAAGTTTCCCGTCACTGGCAATCGGAGAAGATTCAAAATTTTCATCATTAAGCACTTGGAGCGCATCCTGTAATACCTTAGGAGAAGCATTAAGAGCATCATTCACATAAACTGCCTCAGGTTCTGGGATTTCCAAAACCGTGGCCTGGGTGTCAATAGGGACAGAATTTGGGACCGGACTAGCAGCAGCAATAGTCTCAGTCACAATGGTGACCTGAGTGTCATCAAAAGGGACATAAACTGGGACAGATTGGGCTGTAACAGCAGCATCAATAGGGGCCTCAACATTAGGTGCATTAAACTTAGGGGCATCATTCTGGACTGAACTGGCAGCATGTACAGCAGGGGCATCCTCAAGGGGGGGGGGTGTATGGTTTGTATGGTTTGTGACATCAACTTTAGGTACCAGAATATTAGAACCCCGGGGACATTTTGTTTTGGGATGGTCAAACCTAGAGCACAAAGTACAGAAAACTGGAAGATTTTCGTACAAAACAGGTTGAAAAAATCCCGTTTGACCGTTTGAGATCCAAATATTTTGGGGCAAATCCTTGGAAACGTCCAGTTCTATACATACTCTTGCTGTTGTGGGTCTAGAAAAATTAGCAGTAGGTGGATCGAATGCAATTAAATAAATGCACCTGTTTCATGTGGAATGTCTATAGAAAACTGAATGATCAACATCACTTAAGTCATGCCAAATATGCGAATAAAATCATCGAATCTCCAAAACCACTGATTTGCTCTGGTTTCTAGGTGATAACTCTTTGCTCATGTAAGCAATTGGTCTACCCTCTTGCATCAGCACTGCTCCCACCCCTTTCCTAGAAAGCATAAGTCTCTGCCACAAACATTTTGTTGAAATCTGGTGTCATCAGAATTGGTAGAGTTATCATGTTTTTCTTGAGTTCCTCAAAGGCATCAATAGCAGTTTGGTACTTTGGTCCCACTTGAATCCATCCTTCTTGATGAGGTTTGTGAGAGGGGCTGCTATTTTACTGTAGCCTCTTACAAACCTCCTGTAATATCCCGTGAGTCCTAAGAAGCATCTGAGCCCTTGTTTTGGCTTAATTGCATAAGACTTTGAAAAGATCAAATCGTGTGTTCCCCTTGTCTATCAATGACGTGCATGAATACCCATAACAAGTATGGTCAAAATTTAATGATAATGTAAATGTGGTCAGTCATCAGTGTGGTAATTATAATGGTTTAAGGGACATCATTCTACCTGCTTTTAGGATTTAAAATCCCTAAAAATGGATAAAATCTAACAAGGTCCCTTTTGGGAAGTCAGATATATATTAATCCCTTTTATGGAATTTATTATATTTCTTATATCTCAGCATAGGAAGGAACTTGTTGCTGCCATCCATCACGGAATCTCTGTTTTGAAAGCTGACAGGACAACTACCAACTCTCAGTCACGTCAGCCTAGCTATGGCACTCAGGTAAGAACAATTGTAAAAGGGATTTTGAAATTTTTTCATGAAATTAAATTTCGTTAAATTTATATAATCATAATGTTTTTGATCCCTGCAATAATAATGACCCAATTTGGCATTCTAAATTCAATTATTCATCTCCTCGCAGGTAACTGTTCATACAGAATCTGAGAAGCTACTTGATAAACTTCGTCGCAAGGAAGAAAAAAAGCACAGACGCATGGTAGAAAATGGAGTTGAGAATGACTTGTCTTTGATGAGCTTTAGTTCTTTACTTCAAGCAAGTGAGAAGAAAAACATATTTGAAGATCTCATTGGGCATGGTGAAGGGGCTACTACAGCCCTTCCTCAAGGAACCATTCGGAAACATTATAAGGGATATGAAGAAGTCAGTATACCTCCGACATTGACTGCACCCATGAGACCTGGGGAAAGATTGGTATCCATCTCTTTGCTCTATTTTCTGTATGAATGGGTGGCACTGATAATGGAATATGTCCATTGGCTATTTCTGCCATTGCATCCGTTTGTTTTTAAATGTTATTTCCTTGACAAATCTCTACTCTCTAGTTTCACAACATGAAAATCTCAAGCATCAATTGAAAAAAGAGCCTTAAACACTGATATTTAACTGATATTTGTTGTTGTTGTAAGCACTGATATTTGACTGATAAAAGAACAGTAATCACTTACTCAAGAGATTCAAGTGCATGTTATTTTTCATCCAATGGAGTCTCCATAAAGTCATACATGAAATGGACATGCATGTTTCATATCTTCCGGGTTCATTTTTGCTAATTACATTTTGATTTGAAAATTATGTGATACTGCTAGCAGTTCCTTATCAGCCCTGAACTTCTTTATTCTTGATTATCTTCTTCATTCATCAGAACACCTTAATCCCAACTAGTAAGGGTCAGACTGCCATCAGAGGCATGAAAGTTAAAATACCAATTAATTTTCTATCGGAAGTTAACACTATAAATTCATGCAAAAAGCATTAGGGCAAGTCACCACCTTTTTAGGAAAGAACAATGAGAAGTTTAGAACTATCATCATCATAGGTTATTTCCACCCACATGGAGAATATCATGAGACAATGATGAGTTTAGGTAGTTGTTCTTTTCATGTCAATGACATGTTTGATATCATAAAGCAAACATGCCAAATTGCCAATAATGGAACGTGACTGCTTGATTATCTTTTTTCAGATTGAGATCAAAGAACTTGATGATTTGGCTCAAGCTGCATTTCAGGGCTACAAGTCTTTGAACCGTATTCAGAGCCAAATATATCCAACTACTTATAATACCAACGAAAACATTCTTGTAAGTTCTTCAGTTTTTTCGCTGCATGCATTTTTATTCATTTGGCTGTAGAAATAGAATTTTAATGTGTAAATATTTTTATTTATATTCAGGTCTGTGCTCCAACTGGGGCTGGAAAAACAAATATCGCTATGATTTCTATTCTACATGAGGTTTTTTGTGGTTTTTCTCCTTCTATATCCAGTCATTTGACTTTATATCTCCTTTTGCCTGAATGTGTGAGGTGCTTGGTTAAACTTGTTTGGTTTGATGCACTATTATATCTTGTTTGTTTTATGATTGATTTGACTTTCATCTTTTCTTGGAGCGAGGTAATAATATTCATTGTTTCTTGAACCATATTTTATAAAGAGAATATCATGTATTTTTGACTTTTCGTACTTGTGAATTGATGCTAAGTTAAGGGGTCAAGGGCATCAATCTTTCAGATGCTTCATTGCGTATGTTTCCTTTTTATATGGGGAGGAGAGAACATATATTTGACTGCAGTTTTAGGACTCACTGCTTCTATGTCATGTCAATGATTTTGTTTTTGTGCAGATTAAACATCACTTTAGAGAAGGCTACTTGCATAAGAATGAATTCAAGATAGTTTATGTAGCTCCCATGAAGGTATTGCATGAATGAAGTATTATTCAACATTCCATGTTGCCATAATAGTTTATTAAAATACACAATTAACAAACTGTCCATCTATTACCTGGTTTGTTGTGCCACTCTCCAACATACAATCTATATCCTCTTCACATTTTTATGGTTTGCATTAGCTTGTGCTTGTAGGAGTAGATGGAGCTCCAAAGTAAGTTGGACCAGCAAGCACTATGCTGAAATGATCTAAAATTTAGGGTTGATTGTTGGAAAATGATTGAACCATCTCCGTTTTTTCTGTTCATTTTGATAAAATAAAAAGGACTATACTCTGTTCCAACTCTTAGACTTGCTACTAATCTTTCATTTTCTTCTAGGCATTAGCAGCAGAGGTGACCATGACTTTCAGCAAACGGTTGTCTCCGCTGAACGTTACTGTGAGAGAACTTACTGGAGACATGCAGCTTTCTAAAAATGAACTTGAAGAAACACAGGTTGACCTCGGATTACGTGAAAATGTTCTTGGTTAACCTTAAGAAATTATTGTAAAGCATCATAGTATTTTTATTCAAATTATCTTATTCAGATGATAGTGACAACACCTGAAAAATGGGATGTCATTACTCGTAAAAGTAGTGACATGGCGCTCTCGATGTTGGTGAAGCTACTTATAATTGACGAAGTTCATCTTTTGAATGATGATAGAGGCCCTGTTATAGAAGCACTGGTAGCGCGAACTCTTCGTCAGGTACGGAAAACAATATTTCCTTGATCCACTTAATACTACAAGGATAGTGGTGTTCTCTTAACTTGTGATGAATGGAAAAATAAACAATAAAAGTATAAAAGAAAGGTTCATCTTCATTTCTGATAGTGAGCCACATCCTCAAAATCCTATAGCGGTGTTGTTTTTTTACCAAATTCCGCTGCGCAGCTGCGCTAGAGAACCACTATTTTGATAATGCTTGATTAAACAGAACTTTTATATTAATATGTTATACTAAGATGGTAATTTTATTTTTACTAGTTCCAGCAAGGCTTTTATATTAATACATGTTATACTAAGATGGTGATTTTATTTTTATTAGTTCCAGTAAGGCATTAGAATCTATAAGTTTCATAGGACTTAAACAGATCTTGTATTTGTTCTTCAAATAAGGCAACTTTTATAAGTTGTACTCCCTCCGTCCCAATTTGTAAGACACTTTACGATTTACGATGTTTGACCGAAGATAAAGCAAATTGATTCCTGTCAACACTCAAATTAGCTTTAGAAAATAAATTTTACATATTTAGAAACTACATTAAAACCGCTACATTAAAACCGCTACAAAACCGCTACAAAAATAATTCTAATTTCATAAACTTTTGATATATAAAGTAAAAGATTAAAAGTGATTTATGTTGACCAAGTGAATAGTAAATGTATCTTACAATTTGGAACTGAGGGAGTAGTTTATTGACCATGAACTTTTTCATCATTCTAATATGCTATGTGCATGTGCTCCAATTTAAACTGTTTCCTGCTTTTTGGATGACAGGTGGAATCCACACAATCCATGATACGAATTGTGGGTCTTTCAGCTACATTACCCAACTATTTGGAGGTCGGATTTCTCTAAAATCTCTGTGTATTATTTAGAAGTGCTTCCTCCTGTAGAATGTGTCAAGCTCTGTAATCTTATCATGCCATATTTCTTATTACAGTTGCTTATAATTTCCGCATCATTGAAATATAGGTTGCAGAGTTTCTGAGGGTTAATCCAGAAACTGGTCTTTTCTATTTTGATTCAAGCTACAGGCCAGTCCCTCTTGCTCAACAGTATATAGGAATTAGTGAGCACAACTTTTTGGCCCGCAATGAGCTTCTGAATGAGATTTGCTACAGAAAGGTCTGCCTTCTTCTTGGGTTATTTAGGGTGCATTTGGGAGGGTGTTCGGAGTGGTTGAAACATTTCATTGCCCATACAGCCATCAGTTACCCATCTTTTGAAGTGGTGGGCTATTTTCAGCCATTTGTGGAGCTTTTACGGCATCTGGAAATGAAATATCTAAAATACCACTAATTAATTACTCCGTATTATTTTTGTATTCCAAAGGGGTTTGTGAGTTGTAAGTTGTAACATTTTTTATAATAAAAATCTCAGATAATCTGTAGTGGATTCCCGTGACATCCTTTTCGTCTGAGAGTATCCCAGCTTTATCTCACGACAAAAAGGCGCCCTTTGCTCCCCTTAACCTGGCTCCCCTGTAAAAATAACTACATTAATATTTGATTATAATATAAATAGTGTTGGAATAAAATAAATTTGTTAACTTTTTATTACTCTTAATAAAATAAGGATACATTTTATCTAAATAACCTTGTTGGAGCTTGTCATGTCACTGTAACTGGCACAGCTGTTTTTCTAACACACATTTTTTCTGCCATTCTAATGGTCATCATTTCAATCTCACCGCCACTGCTCAATCTCAATGATTTGCCAAACTGAGCCTTTTTAGACTTTAAATATGGTTGCAAAATCTAACTGGCACAACTGTGATTCTAATACACATTCTTTTTCTTTGCCATTCTAATGGTCACCATTTCTATCTCACATTCTCACCACCATTGCTTCAATCTCAATGCTTAGCCGAATGGAGCCTTTCTTTAGGGCTTAAATATGGTTGCAAACATATTTTTAGATTTATTTACTCTCCTCCTTCCCTTTTTGGCAAAGAATTTGTGGTTCACAATCATTCTTACACATTCTTACACATTTCTCTCTCCTCTGCACAACTCTCCACCACACAAAACCCACTATCTTAATTAGTGTGCCCAGCCGAAATGGGAGAAAAAACAGGGACGGAGGGAGTATTTATTTATTTATTATTATGTGCAGGTTGTTGATTCCTTAAGGCAAGGGCACCAGGCTATGGTTTTTGTTCATTCACGCAAAGATACTGGAAAAACAGCTGATAAACTGGTAGGGTTTCCAAGTATTATTATTGATATCCCCCCCCCCCCCCCCCCAAAGAATAGATAATTTTCCCCATAAGTTTCTGGCATGGCGTTTTTGAGTTGAATAGAATTATGTATTGGGGGGGGGGGGGTGCTATAACTTGTTTTTCTTTTTCATCTCCACTTCAGAAGGTTAACATTCATGCTTCAAAGTCCTTAAGCGAAAAAACCAATTAAGCTAGGACATGAAATCTTGGGACCCAGGGCAGATTTTGACCAGGAATTTTACAATTTTCCCCTTAAGCCTGTGCCAAGCTCGCGTGCATTTCGTCGGGGTACTCACTGGGCTATATTTCATAGGGCTACACAATATGCCGCACTGTTTCTTAGTATGATCATGACCATCAAGCAAAGCACTCTCTTATAACTCTTCAGAGACATAATAAATCATTTAAATCTTAAAAATAAAAACAATTAATTTTAAAAACTACATTATAATATATACATGTATAAACATACACATGGGGGCTGGGTATATTTTCCCTATTGGGCTAAAAGTTAATCCCATGTTTGACCTGGGCCTGGCTTGGAGGGTGATGTTCGCCTCTCCCTTTTTCTATGTAGTAAGCTATGCATATTTTTATGCTACGTCAGATATTGTGCATCTGTTATAGGCACTATTATTTTGAACTCTCTTATCTAAGTACTGACTACTGACGAGAAACTTGGTCTGTTATACAGTAAGCTGTGCATATTGTTATGCTTTGGCAGATATGATATCATTATAAGCCTCTTATAAGTGCTATTTTTTACACTCTTATCGAAGTACTGCACTACTGCTTTTCATGTGAATAATTTCACACTTTGATAGAGGTCACATAGTTGCAGTACCTTTTTGCTTAATCAATTAAAAGGTTTTGGAGCATCATCACACATGTAGTCCTTTTATTGTTGTATTATTATCATTATCATTATTGTTTTTGTTATCATTATTACTAAATTTTATCCTCAAAGGCTCAAACATGCATTGGTGATAAACTGAAAATTAACATCATTCATATAATGCTCAATCTTACATGGACGAATTATTTGGTTCAGTTACAATTTACAACCTTCAGCTTTACAAACTTTGTCACATACTGCAACCAAATGAAAACCTTTTTTCTCTAGAACAAATCAATTAACAAGTATTCAAAAAAATGCAGTATGGAGTCCACCCCTGTCTGATGTGTACTGCATTGATGCTGGGTTGTGGTAGACAGAAAAATAGACCATGTCATTACCCTTCATTTATTCTACAATGTTTTGTATACTAGTGATACACTGATACTTCAGAATTAGCATTTCAAAACAGTGAAGTTCGAAACCCTGTTGTTCCTATATATATCATAGACAATATGATTTTATATATTGGCGAAACTAAAATATTTTACAATAGATTAATTTTCTGGAACATTTGTGCGTTTCCGTTGAACCGTGAGTGTAATTCATTAATAGAATAGAACTTTGAGATTTGCTTAATGACATTATTTACAAAATGTTATCAGGTTGATCTTTCCCAGATAAATGAAGATACCGAGCTCTTTGGTAATGATAAACATCCTCAGTTTGAGTTCAAAAAGGCAAGGGCAACATACACACTCGATAGCCGTTCATATAGTATTATGCTCAAACCAGCATTTTCATTGATTTCAGAAGGAAGTTCTCAAGTCCAGAAATAGGGAGGTTGTCAAGCTTTTTGAACATGGGATCGGGATTCACCATGCTGGTATGTTGCGTCAAGACAGAAGTCTAACTGAACGGCTCTTTTCTGAGGGACTTCTGAAGGTGTATCTCACATTCTCACCTCTATTTCTCCATTTCATGCTTGTGACTTCTCATCGTACACGTTTCTGAAAGCTTGTTTGTTTAGGTCCTTGTTTGCACTGCAACCTTGGCATGGGGTGTGAATCTGCCTGCCCATACTGTTGTAATTAAGGTCTGTTATGACTTTTCTTTGACAACCATCTGTTGTTTTGTGGTTATTTGGATGAGATGTAGGGGAAATCAATTTGCAGACATAGCTTTCAAGCACACTGCATTTATATATGTTTCAGATCATGAAGTAGGGTACTCCACTAGTCCACTACATATTTAGAGTACCTGTAGTCTGTAGTCCTCCTGTATGGGTACACCCGAGTATGTACACATATTTTTGGTAAACTGGTACAGCTCGAATACAGAACTTAATCAGAACTGTGTTGGTTTTTCCCTTAGTTTTCTTTCTGCGTTCATTCCCCCCTTCAAATCCTACCCCATTCTTTCACACTCTTTTGCGCACTTCTCTCAGCAGAGCACAACTACTATGAACAATGAACACATGGCTTTTCCTCTAGTCTTTTGCACATATGTCCCAATAGTTTGTGTTCTATTTGAGTTTTGGTCGGATTTTCCATAGATTGATTTACGCTTGTTTTATGTTGATGTTGATGTTTTGTTTATGTTAAGACCCGGAGTTCCATCATAAAAGGTCAAACTGATAAGAGGAGTAGCCCAAAGTCTTATAGTGTCCTATTGTTTTATAGCTTTGCGGTGTGGGATAAATACTTTAACACGCCCCCTTAACAAGCTACGCTTAACAAGCTATGCTTAACACCCTTAACAATCTACGCTTAATCATGAGTGCTAAACAAGCCGTTAAACCACAACCAAAGTTGACTCTGATACCATGTTAAGACCCGGGATTCCATCCTAAAAGGTCAAACTGATAGGAAGAGTGGCCCAAAGTATTATATAGTGTTTATTTGTTATATAACTTTCCGGTGTGAGATAAATACGTTAACAATTTACAATTTGTGATGTTAAATTTTACCTCGTAATTCTTCAAATAGAATAAACAAGAACATGATATAAACGTACACCTCTATGGCTCTACCTCTTTAATTACCAAACCTAGAACTTAAGCAAATGTAGCATTAATGCAGTTATGCAGCTTGGCACTTTAAGAATATATCCTTCTAGAGCTTTTTCTTGTATTCTTATATTAATTGGTACTCCCTCCATCCCTTAGCAAACTTCATGCCCCCCCCCCTGACTAACAAACGCCATCTTTCCTTTTACGGAAATGATACTCCAACTAATTTTAACCACAAAAAACTAGTATCTTAATGTGCATGATAAAAGCGAATGTGATGTTTATTGAGGGATGGAGGGATTATGTGCTAATCTTATGATGTTACATTAAATTATCAATTAAAAGTTAATGTGCCCATATTTTTTACTTTTCCATCTAGATCTCTACATTTCAAACACTTCTGCTATATTTTTTATGTGTATTCCATATTATTCCCCATACATTTTTGCAAACATCATTTACTTTTCAAAACATGAACATGGGATATCTCTAGGGCACACAAATTTATGACCCAAAAGCTGGTGGGTGGCGAGATCTGGGCATGCTTGATGTTATGCAAGTAAGGCACCACATTTTTATTAGAGTTCTGGTATTATTAATCTCTACTGGATAGTGAATGCTTATTTGTGCTTTTCCATTGTTTGGAACTGTATGTGGTAGATTTTTGGACGTGCTGGGAGACCTCAGTTTGATAAGAGTGGTGAAGGCATTATAATCACTACTCATGACAAGCTAGCTTACTATCTACGTCTGCTAACCAGTCAACTTCCAATAGAAAGTCAGGTAAATGCGAAAGATGATTGGGGGACTTTGCAATTTTTTATAGTCTTATAGGTTTGTTCTATGCTGTTCTCAGTACATGTACGCCGGTATGACAGTTCATAGTTAGTGGACTTTGCAATTTTTTATTTATATTTTAGAGCATACGTAGTATAATATTTGAACCATCACCTTACCTACTCTTAAGATTATATTGACTCATTTATTTCACTCAAGCTAGTAGCCTTGTTTATTTGTGTCTGCATGCGCTAGAAGATGATTGAGTGCCGCAAATTAGAATACGGCATTCTTTGTGAAATTGTTTTTTATTCTTATTAATGTCTGTCTGAATGAATAAAAATGTTGAAGTAACTTCTGCTCCAAATTGGGACTGAGTATTCTCATATACATTGTATTTGGGTGTTGTATGGACAACAACAACAACAACAACATACTCCAGTGCCGCAAAGGTTCCCACCTACGGCGTGGGTGGGGTGCTGCTGTATGGACTGAACTAATGAGTTCATTATGTGAGACTGACTCTTTTGTTTTTGTTCTCGTAGTTTATAAATTCCTTGAAAGACAATCTGAATGCCGAGGTGGTACTGGGAACTGTGACAAATATCAAGGAGGCATGTACTTGGCTTGGATATACGTATCTTTTCATCAGGATGAAAAGGAATCCTTTGGCATATGGTATTGGATGGGAAGAGGTAGACTCGTTGCCTTGTGTTTGAATCATTTCAGAACTTATGTACTAGAATTTGGTATTCGTCAGTGTCACACCCACATTATTTTAATTTTATGTTGCAGGTCATAGATGATATAAATTGATTATATGTTTGACAGGTTGTAGCTGATCCGTCATTGAGTTTAAAGCAAAGAGATCTTATAACCGATGCCGCTCGTGCTCTTGACAAGGCAAAAATGATGCGTTTTGATGAGAAAAGTGGGAATTTTTATTGCACAGAGCTTGGCCGTATAGCCAGTCATTTCTACATTCAATATTCTAGTGTTGAGACATACAATGAAATGCTGAAACGCCACATGAATGAAAGTGAGGTATGTAGTTATAACTTATAATTACCATTTCTTTGTAAGCCATATGGCTCTAACTTGTTTATTTTACTAAGATATTATTTTTTTTGTCAATGAAACTCTATGAGCACTATCTGAAGGGGAGCCTTGGCGCACCGGTTACGGTGTTGTTGTATGACCGAGAGGTCATGGCTTCAAGTCTTGGGAGCAGCCTCTTGTCAAAATGACAAGGGAATGCTTGCTACACCCTTGTGGTAGGACCCTTCCCCACGCCCTCGCCTTGTAGGGACACCAATGTGCACTGGGCTGCCCAAGAAAGCGCAAGCCCAAGATTTGTCTGGTACTACTTTATTTAAACTTAGTAGAATTTAAAAATAAAGAGGAAAACAAGAGAAATGTATAATGCTTCAGAAAATATAATTTGGCATGATATTTGTATGTAACAAGCTATGTTACTATGTACCGCATATTTGTCTAGTCACTTCCATAACTTTGTCTTACATTGAATCATTGATTAGATGCACCGTAGTCCCTAATTCTGTTACATAAATTAGGACAAGGCTCACAAACATGTGCAGTTTTGTCCACATTGCGTTGAAATGATAAATAGAGTCCTTCATTCTTCATTACAATTTACAAGAGGTGGCTCAAGAGTCAAGTCGCGTGACTTTGTCCTATCACTTAAGTTAGTTTGTGTTGGTTTCAAAGCTCTTAAACCAAAAGTGCACCACCGACATAGCACTGCTTTGCTTTGAAGCACAAATAGAATTTCTTTTTGTGAAAAAAGCAACATTGAAGAAACCATCTGAGCTTCTGCCTTTCAAAATGTAAGTAAACTGTTTTAAAACAACTTACAGTTGTTAGTAGTAAGTTAGTAACAACTAGTACAACGCTACAAGCCAATTGTCCAACTCAATCACCCCTCTCAGGTGAGTTTTTAGTTTCTCCATTAGAATATCTGCAAATTCCTGCTTTTAGTCATAAATATAATTAGAACAACCATAATCATCTTCACTCTTCTTCATAACAGGTTTATATTGATTAGCTCCAACGTTTCCTTTTCCTTTTCCTTTTCCTTTTCCTTTTCCCTTTCTGAATTTTTACCTTTCACCTTTCCTTAGTGATAACTGATAAGCGCTTCTTATAGAATAGACCATCTTTTCTATGCCTTCAAACTTCGCGATCCTTCCCCAAGTCTATTAATCCTCAATTCTTGCTATTTGGCCAGTTGACTTGCTGGTACTACCAAGTCCACACGAGATATGGTTTGAGTTCGAGTCAAACTCACAGCCCCCTAGAATATCAGTGAGTTCGAAACTCTACGAACTAAACTCACTGATTTCACTGCCATGGATCCAAGTGAGCAATTGTCCAACACATTAGCAAACGAATATCCCTTCCGCTTATCCATCATATTAGATATGTATAAATGTATAATCCATATAATTGTTTCCAAGTTAATATGTCATTTCATTTTAACTTAAGTGCGTGTTTGACTACCCTCTCTGTAACGTGGTTTTGTCGCAAACTTTGATCCAAAAACTATGAGCTATAATCTGTAGCTTCTCTGATCGCAGTTTTGGCGGGATTCCAAACATAAGTTATGTATATCTTTTGAAAGACTAGGAAAACAAGCTGTAGGTCCATTCGTCTTTTCTCTCTCTATAGGATTATGAAATTGATACTCTGAATGAATAAATTTTAGGAAGTGAAGTGAAATCTTATGTTTAGAGCCTAATGTTCCCAACATAGTATGGAACTCTTAATGAAGATTATGTTAATCTTTAGTGCCATATACTCAACCAGCTTGCATTTAATCTTGTTAATAAAAATAAAATTATGTTTCATTTGCTATCTGATAGCAGTGCTATCGTTTCATTGTTTTCACATGTAAAGCATGTTTTCCTGTTTAATAGTAAATATATATTGTTTTTTTAAATTACAAGTAATTCACTTGAAAGGGAGCCTTGGTGCACCGGTTATGATGTTGGTGTGTGATGGAGAGGTCTTGCTCAAGTCTTGGGAGCGGCCTCTTGTCAAAATGACAAGGGAAGGCTTGCTCCTTGTACACCCTTGTGGTGGGACCCTTCCCTGGGCCCTCGTCTTGCAGGGACGCCAATGTGCACCGGGCTGCCCTTTTTACAAGTAATTCACTTCTTATCTTGTAAGACTTTTAACTATTTGTGGTTTTATCATGAAGTCAATTTTCAATGACTGACGTATCGTGAGCTTATGCAGTTGTTATGACTTAACTGCATGCATTTTTACATGTTCTTTCTTTGACATGATTTCTTGTCTTTGGTTAGGTAATCAGCTTGGTTGCCCATTCTTCTGAATTTGAAAATATTATGGTCCGTGATGAGGAACAAAATGAACTTGAAATGCTGGCTAGAACATATTGCCCATTGGAAATCAAGGGTGGTCCATCAAATAAGCATGGGAAAGTTTCAGTTCTTATTCAGGTTTTATTTTGTTGCCCTAACATAACTGATATGTACTTGTCAGTTGTCACATGTGCTGAAGTCCTTAATTCAGTTCTATATCGATTTCTATTTGCAGTTGTACATATCTCGGGGTTCTATGGATTCATTTTCACTAGTTTCTGATGCAGCATATATAAGTGCAAGCTTGGGTCGTATTATGCGGGCTTTGTTTGAAATTTGTTTACGTAGGGGGTGGTGCGAGATGACATCTCTGATGTTAGAATATTGCAAGGCCGTTGATCGTCGAATTTGGCCCCATCAACATCCATTCAGGCAGTTTGATAAGGATATTTCACCCGAAGTATGTTTCTCTATACATTTCAAAATTGGAATATTTGATGATGAGTGGAGGGCCGGAGGCATGATTTTTTTTATTTTTTTATGGGGTTCACCAATGATGGTCTTACCAGATATTGAGGAAGCTTGAAGAAAGAGGAGCAGACTTAGATCACTTACAAGAGATGGATGAGAAAGATATTGGAGCTTTAATACGTTATGCTCCAGGGGGAAAGGTGCATCGTATTGTGCATGTCAATTCAAACTCATTATGAGTCTTATGACCGAATACTTATATATTATTAATTTGAATTAAGGTTGTTACGCAACATCTTGGATATTTTCCGTCAATCCAGTTGTCTGCTACAGTAAGTCCAATAACTAGAACCGTGCTCAAGGTAAATGCATATACGTGATTTTATCATCTTCCCGTTGGTCACTGATTATTTACTTTTAAAATGATTTGCCAAATTGACTATGAGCTCTATTTAATAGGTGGACCTGATATTAGTGCCTGGGTTTGTTTGGAAGGATCGATTTCATGGTACTGCACAGCGTTGGTGGATTTTGGTAGAGGTATATGTTTGTAGAATGCTTTCAGTAATGGATTGCTCATTGACGATCGTTTTCATTTTTCAGAGATCATGTAACATAATTTGTCAAGAATGAATTATTTGAATGAATATTGATGTACATGGTGAGGATATTTATCATGAGGACAAATGTATAATGTATAAAATCAACATGTTTGTCTCATTAAACAACATTTGGTGCTATTACACATACTGCAACTTTGTTGGGCCCTTGAAGCATACTTTTACACTTTTGCCCCATGCTTCAACACTTGAGCCCATTAGCCCTTCTGGGTGATATGAGCAGACGCGAATGCCTTATAGAATCTGCAACTCCCTGAGTTGCCGATGTGAAATTTGTGACGCATCTGTGCGCCTTGACATGCCTCAGAACGCACTTTTGGGACCTGGTTGCATTGTTAAGTTTTTTCCTACAAAAGTTGATTAGATTCAGTGTTTATAGGGTACTATTCTGAAGTACCATTGGAGTGTTAGGATTAGGTTAAGATTGAGTGTGCTCTTGAATGCTATTAGATGCCCGTGTACCTGAAATGGGTAACTCCATAGCTTCTTAGACGGAGCACTTTCAAGTCATTATATATCTTTTAATACAAATGCTTTTCTTTTCCTGAAGTGTTAACCCAATTTTTTTGTGTACCCATATTAGAGAGATATAATGACATGTCCTACAAATCAAGTCATGATAATTCTTTTAATACAAATGCATTTCTTTTCCTGCAGTGTTAACCCATTTTTTTTTGTGTACCCAAATTAGAGAGCTATCATGACATGTCCAATAATCTAGGAGTTGGTGATTAATGTGTATCTGGTTGTGAAAGCATGATTTTTATAATTTTATCTAATTTTTACTCTTTGGATTTGCATAGGATTCTGAGAATGACCATATATACCACTCTGAACTCTTTACTCTGACTAAGAGGATGGCCCGTGAACCACAAAAGCTATCCTTTACTGTGCCAATCTTTGAACCTCATCCTCCTCAGTACTATATTCGCGCTGTTTCAGATTCTTGGCTGCAGGCAGAGGCTTTTTATACTATAACCTTCCATAATCTTGCACTCCCATCGGTTGTCTTTACAACTTATCTTCTATTTTTTTGCATTATTTTCCAGCACATGTTTTATTTTCTGTTATGCCAAATACTTCCTAGAGCTTACTAGCAACACCAAAACATCATATTTCTTTAGGAGCATACAACTCACACTGAACTTCTAGACTTGAAACCGCTTCCTGTGACTGCACTTGGTAATGGAATTTTTGAAGCCCTGTACAAGTTCTCACACTTCAATCCTATTCAAACGCAGGTAATAGAGCATTTTTTACGACATCATATACATCCTTGCTATCACGTCCTTTGCCAACTCCTGATTGTCAATTTAATTCTCCATTTCATTGTTGCAGGCTTTTCATGTGCTCTATCATACTGATAAAAATGTTCTTCTAGGAGCGCCAACTGGAAGTGGGAAAACTATATCTGCTGAGCTTGCTATGCTTCATCTTTTTAATACTCAGCCTGATATGAAGGTAATATTCTGAAAAAAGTGTTGCTTAAGTTTACGAGTAAATGCTGAAAATAGTATAGACTATGTTCAATAGTCAGTGGTATTTGGTAACTGACCATTCAATTGGTATTTGAACTTAAAAGTTAGTATGTCTTCTTGCATAACCATAATCACGATCTTGTAGAATTCACTCTGTGGTAAAGGGATGTAGAGCACTGGATGAATTTATTTATGAAGTCTACAGTTGCTAGTTTTTATCTCTTTATCATTGTTCTATCCAATGCTTTATTATATGCATTGGATACCTCAAATGTATGCTATTGATAAAAAACCTTTGGTCCATGGGTATTGTCCAACCTATAGCTGTACCTTTACTGTGTAATTGTGTAACCTAGCGTATGTTGTGCAATTTTGTAACTCCAGCGTAAAGTTGATTCCTTGAATTTCCTAAAGGTTCATGCATTCATTTCTTTTTTTCTCTTTCTTCTTTTGTTTCCGGCAGATTTGTTTATTTTTTGTTTCACTTGTTTCTCCTCTTTTAGTGGTCAGATATCTTTACCAATACCACCACTGTGCCCAGAACAGCACTACGGTCTTTCCATGAAAAAACACCGCAGATGTTCTTTTTAGATGCCTGGATGAGCTGACCATGGAATGCCACAAATTTACTGTTAACTGGCCAAATCTCTGCTGACCTTTCATTGGCCTACACGGATGTGCTGATATACTTGTTGCGTTTCCATTGGCGTAGGCCTTAACTTTTTCTGTCATCAGCATGTGCTGATCATCGCCATCATTGTCTTCTCGAATATTTTTTCTGACCAGGCCATTCATCAACTGGTCCTTGCCTCTTCGTCAGTCCTCCTTAGCGAGAAATAATTAGTGGCTTGCATCCCTATTTTGTTTAGTTCATATAGATTTCTGAGGTCCTTATTGTGCTAGGTCTACCTTGTGTTTTCATGATTTTTTTCCTTTTATGGATGATTATGAAAGTGCATTCCTAGTTGGAACATGCTCAGTTGTTTTCACTTTTCATTTTGAATATTCTGTCTCCAGAATACAAATCCAATTTGGCAAACCAATTTGCATCTTTCGTAATCAAGTCACAACACATATAATGTATCTCTGAAACTTTTAGAGCAAATATGACCTCTCAGGCTCTCACCTCTTGAACCTTGAGTATTTTGCATCAACGGCCTTATGTGTCCATTCTACAACAAAATGAGGTTGGAGAACTCAAGTAGAGATTCTTAGTTGAAACTGCTCGCACTATGAGAATAGATAGTGATTGATATCCATACCAAGTTTTACGATGAAAATATCTGTTCTTCGAAATGGAATTCAATTTTCATTACTTTCCCTACACACGACCTCGATCCTCTCCACTGACATTTCAGCATTGCTTACTTGATCAAAACTCTCTTCTCAAATCTCATGTGTATATTTTAAATACACCTGTATTTGCAATGGTTACCATAATTACTCTCCAGAAATGAAATTCTATTATGTATGTGCAGATACTCTCATGCACCATCTTTCCCTCTTCTGCACTTTCTCCGTCGGCTATGGCCTATATTACCTCTCATCTCTCTTTCTCCTCCCCTCCTCTGCTGTTACACCTGGAACCCTGTACATCTTTTGCTACATATCTGCCTCCTATTCATCCTTTTCGAATGAGGCTACTGAGGCAAGTCTTGATCTTTAGATATTTAGACATACTACTCATAACGCTTCCTCTATCGCTTTCAAGTTATAATAATTTTGTCTCTTGTCCATATTATGCATTTGTTTGCACCTCATCTCAACTATGTCATATTCCTAACTGTCTCTCAAAGAAAGTATGCTTTCATTATCTTTTAAAAAAATTGCACGCTTGATTTTAAACCTCTGACTAGGTCTATGAATTCGAGTGTCACACTTCTCCCAAAACAGTAGCCTTTATCCTTTATCTGACCGTGATAGTTACTGATGGTTAATTACAGAGCTGTTTTATCCCACTATCTTACAGCCATACATATGCTTTGCGGTTATTCATGTTCTGAGATCATGAGATACATCAAGAAAGTGTACAAAAAAATTCTTAATGAAGGATATTGTGGTAAGCTAGTTGTTGGGTACTGTGATGCTGAGTGGGCAGGTTCTCCATTTGACAGGCTGGCCACTGCTGGGTACTGAGTTATCATCATTGGAAAATTAAAAAACTAAGTGTCATTCAGATCTGGTGCTGAACCCAAACTGTGCTATGATTTGTGGAACATGTGGGCTTTTGTGGTCAGAGCACTTCGGGAGTTACAGTATGGTGACCTGGTCATTATCATACTGATATGCTATAACAAAGCTGCATTATACATTGCTTCCATGAACATCAAGCACTTAAATTGATTTTCATTTCTTTAAATTGAAGATCGTGTCTGGATGTATACTACAAAATTTGTTAATTCTCATCTGATTTGTATGCTCCAGTGTTAGGGCCTTGAGCAGGGGAGGGGGCAGTGTTAAATATATAACTGATAACCTAGCTAGACTTGGCTAATCCCATTCTGTGTCTCGTGATTGTATAAATACGGTCTCTTATATAGCTTATATCTCACAGTAATACAAGAAGTTCTTCCTTTTGACAATTAGAATCCAAGAAAAAAGTATAATTCAAGAAACTTTTTGTGTAGATAAAATTTGATGCCTTTTGGAAAGGCTGCACAGACTGGCAGCCTATTGGAAACTCGTGTCATTCATAGAACCTCTGCTCTTTTTGATTTCGTGGCGCTAGGTTAAAGAAGAATGATAATGCTAAATAAGTAAATATAATTTGAGAGAATTTCAATTAAATATATTCATAATCTCTTGTAGCTGACCCACATAGTGGGAAAGGCTTAGTTTGGTTTTGTTTGATATTTACACGAACTCAATTCTGAAGTTTAAGGTACTCTTTCAGAAATGCCAAACGTCGTAATGATTTCAGGTTATATATATAGCACCTTTAAAGGCTATAGTCCGAGAAAGAATGAATGATTGGAGGAAGCATCTTGTCTCTCAGCTTGGAAAACAAATAGTGTGTGCATCACTCTCTTTGCATGATCAAACTTAAGTTTTATAACTTTGTACAGAATCAGCACTAACTGAACGCTGTGAGCAGGTTGAAATGACTGGGGATTATACACCTGATTTGATGGCTCTCTTGTCTGCGGATATCATTATTACCACTCCAGAAAAGTGGGATGGGATAAGCCGTAGCTGGCACACTCGCACATATGCTGCAAAGGTGCTGCCATTTATACATTTATTCGGTTTGTATTATCTGAATTTCATTTGATATTAGTACAGTCCTTATTCTTGGGACTAATTTTGATTGACAATGCATTTTTTCTTGCGATAATGATCTAATCGCCTGCTAGCAATTGCCTTTGTAGGTTGGGCTAATGATTTTGGACGAGATCCATTTACTTGGAGCTGATCGTGGGCCCATACTTGAGGTAACACTTCTTTATCAAGAGAAAAATGTAGTTATGGTATAATATAAATAAAAGTATTTGTAATTGCTAGAATCTTCAAGCTCAAGTAAAATGATAGGAAGTTGTATATGTGTGAAATGTCAACTCTTTCGTGTTTGGGGGTTTGCTCCCCATATCTATACTTCTTTCCCTTTCTATGTTTCCTGTATAACCCATCGAAATCCAGATGTATTTCTTTTGTTGTATGTTATTTGTTTTCTTTGCAACTTGAAAATGTTTAAGAACCACATTCACACTTAAATGATGTTCATTTGTCAATAGCATTTTGAATCATTTTAGTGCAAACATGTTTGCCCTGTTTTCTTGGAGTCTGAATAGCTAGACTGAAAAATCTATTTTTCCCTACATACACCTCCCCAAAGACACATAACATCTATATTCTATACTTCTAGGCATATCTTGATTATATAATGTATATCAAAAGACTCATGGGTAATATAAAAAAACTAAATTCTCCACATTCTACTTATTTGCTAAACCCTTGTCATTGTATTACATGGATTATAGGATATGAGGAATCAAACCTCTGACATTAGGTTTTTCTTAGCACAACTCAGATGCCTTCAGACATCATGAGTTTGGCTGTATGATGACATTTCTTTACAGCAATGGCTAATCTAAATTTTCTCTTCCAGATTATATATTGCTATTATTTTCACCCCTGAATTATTTGGTGCTGAAATCCATCATTCTAGGTTATTGTTTCAAGGATGAGATACATTTCGTCTCAAACTGATCGCCCGATACGTTTTGTTGGCCTGTCAACAGCTTTAGCAAATGCACAGTATGTGCTTGGTCCTGCTTTCTTCCTTCTTCCTTTGTGTTTCTGAATTTTAAAGGGATGATTAGTAACTTTTTAAGCATTTAACTATGATACACATGTACTCTTACTGTTATATATTTATATTTTTACTGGAGATGCTTTTTCAGTTTCTCTTGGTAATATCTTAAATTAGTTTTTCTGGTACTCCAGAGATTTGGCTGATTGGCTGGGTGTGGATGAAAATGGTCTTTTCAATTTCAAGCCGAGTGTCAGGCCTGTACCTCTGGAAGTTCATATACAGGCAAGTGGTTGCTTTTTTCTTCTTCTCTAGTTTGCTAATTTGTTGTGTAATCGTATTGTGTTCCTGACATAATCTTGGAGATACTTTGTAGGGAAATTTCTCAAAATAGTAAAAACAATATGAAATTCCAAAATAGGACTGTTATGGTTTTCCCTTTAATAGGAGTGCATTACTGCCAACCATATTTTGGCATTACCAGGTATTATTATGATAGGTACCTGGCACAGATCTGAGCAATACAATAAACTAACAAGCACAGATCTAATGAATGATAGGGAAAGAGTGTTTATTGATGGAAGGAGATAAACCGTAGGCTACAGGGACTTCTTAGGCAACCGGGACTTAGGCAACAAGGCAACAATTCTCAAAACAACAGTCTACCCATTATTAGCTACCCAACTTACTATTTATAGTAGTAGGTCCACGCAGGGACTAAAATAGAAAAACAGACTCATTAAATGACCCCAGCCCACTTAATTGACCTCAGCCCATTTTATTTCTCCTTTCAAATACCCTATTAAAATACTTAAACAGGCAGACTCCTAACATATTAATATTACAATATTTATGCCATAATTGACAGTATATTCCAAGCGTGACATTAATTACTGCTATATAGGGAAAGAAAGCAATATTTGCATATTTAGCTTCTTTTTCTATGCTCTCACACACTTGGAGGCATAAATTATCATTTCTACTGTGATCCTTTCACCGTAGCCCATATATGTTTTAGCGTGCTCAGCTCAGCTCAGATTAAGTTGGCAATGCAAATTGCGAAGTAAATTCCCATCCATAAGTTCTTGTGAGCTCCTTAATATTTTATTATTGATTGAATCATGAATTTTAATGGTTGTAGGTTTAAGTTTGTGTTGTAACGTCAGTAACATGTGTATCTAAACCTATACCACATGAAGGACCGCAGTACCTCTTATATGTTAAGTGAACAAGTTTCTTCAAGTTCTTAGACTTTGTCTTTATCAACAGGGATATCCAGGAAAGTTCTACTGCCCAAGGATGAACAGCATGAACAAACCCTCTTATGCTGCCATATGCACACACTCTCCTACAAAACCTGTTTTAATATTTGTTTCATCTCGTCGACAGACAAGACTAACTGCGCTCGACCTTATTCAGGTGAGATAACTGTGCACCGAGTAATATAAAATTATATATTCTGTGCAATTAAGAACTTATATACACTGAATTTGGGTGCTTCACAGTATTTGGCTGCCTGAGATTGTTATATTTGCTTCATGCACAGAATCTTAGCTTATTTGTCTTACTTTGTAATGATAAGATCTTGGATAGTTGGATGATAAGATCTTATGCTGAACCCAATCCCACTGTTTATGATAATTTCTATTTGGTGTTGAACCACTCTCAGAACCTAGTACACAAAGGGCTTAAATTAGAGTTTATACACTGAAATGTGCACATTTACAGGTGCAATGAAATTAGAGCTTCTCCACTGAGATTCCTTCGTCATGTGCTCATTTACTGGTGTGCGTTATAAAATGTTGCGCACCACTTCACAGTTGTGTATAATAGTTCTTATATGAAAGTGGGATTAATAAAATATAAAAGACCAATTAGCAACAAATTTCAAATGATATTGCAATTTCTGCAGCTAATAATTAGTTTGTGTGGTTCGATTTCACCTGGATGGCTGGATGTCACCAAGTTCTGATCCGCAAAATCACATAAGATCTAGATCTTGATAACAACACTCAGCTGTGTTAGCAGCTCTAATTTGATCAAGAGCGCTTCAATATCTAGATGTTAATATGTTATGTGTATTAGCGTATCACTACAAGATCTATATCTTACAATCCTCACCTTTTGCATGATGTTGATTGTTGATGTTTGAAGTTGCCCTTGCTTATGTTAAGTAAGTTTTTGTCAATTATTATTTAGTTTTACCTTTTTTATTGTGACGGTCATGAATATATTTATGTATTGACTATGTAGACTATTACTTCGTCCATCTTAAAATATAAGATACATTTGAGTATTGCACAAGTTTTAAGAAAATAAGGAGATAGTACTATAGTAGAAATTTTATGCTTGTAATCTCCAAAAAGGAAGAAAAAGTTACCAGAGTTCAAATAAGGAAAATATTCATATTTTCGGGACAAAACAAATAAGAAAGTGTATCTTACAAAATCAGAAAGATGCAGTGGATTTTTTATTTTGGTTGGTATGTGATGTCATTTGTGAAAGAATCTCTATTTTTAGGCAGTAAGTGTGAAATGGTGAATATATGGTATGTCTTTTTATGAGTACACACATGAAAGTCTACAAGATTTACATTCTTTGATTAGAGGTCTTGATTTTTTATCTTTCGTGCAACCCTATTGAGCTTATGGTCATGATAACCTTACAAAAGTTCGGCAAGGCTTATCTCCTTTATAAGGGTCGTTGATCATTACAAGAAGAATATATACCTCCATCCCTAAAATGACTCATGTTTGATCAATGTATGACTTTGGTACAACTCATAAATAATGAATCATACATATTTGAACCTTATTTATTGGTTTCACTAAATTTAGCGCATGCAAAATGTTTGCTGCTCTTTTTTGGGACTTTTTTTGAAAAACAATATTTGTTTGATCAAAATGGACTGTGATTTGGGGGCAAAAAAGTTTTCGAAACACTTAGATCTTATGCAGCATACACTGTGGCTCTTTAGCAAGTTATGTTTTCTCTCATCTGCAATCCTGGTTCTTAGATGATGGGCAGTATGTGAGTGATGTGATGCTATAACAAATAAGTTTTTTTCATCACCTACAAATTGCAGTTTGCAGCTTCAGATGAGCACCCTAGGCAGTTCCTGGACATGTCTGAAGATGCACTTCAGATGGTTCTTTCTCAGGTCTTGGATCAAAATTTGAAGCATACATTGCAGTTTGGTATTGGGCTACATCATGCTGGGCTAAATGATAAGGACAGATCTTTGGTTGAGGAACTTTTTGCAAACAACAAGATCCAGGCAATTATATACTACAAAAATATTTTCTTCTACAAATGAACAGGTGAAAGTGGAGTTGGTATCCTCATTTATTTTGTTCGTTACATCTCCCATAGGTTTTGGTCTGCACGAGTACACTGGCATGGGGTGTGAACCTTCCTGCACATTTGGTCATTATAAAGGTATGTTCAAGACTTACAAATCTTCATCACAAAGCATCAATTTCATTTACAGCCTAGGCCGCAGAAACATTGATGGCATGGACACTATTAGTAACAACTAAACAATGCTCCCTCTGTCCAACAAAGATAGGCTTGTATGTAAGCACCACGACTAGAAATAGCTTTATAGTTGGAATAATTAATTTCATACTCCCTCTGTCCCTTAAAGGTTTGCCATGTTTGACCTGCACGTAGAATAATAAAGTAAAAACTGTGTGGTAGAAATTTGTGCAGAGGAGAGAGAAATAATATGAGCCACAAATTGATTGATTAAAAGGGAAAGTGGCAAAGTTTTTGGGACAACCAAAAAAGGAAAGTTGGCAAAGTTATAAGGGACGGAGGGAGTATGAAATTATAATTTTTATTCTTTCCTGAATGTTTTTAATTTTATCTTGAAATGCTTGAAGTAGTAATTTAAATAGGGATAAACTGTTTACCGTAAACATGGAAATGGACAAGGCTCGTACCTAATATAGATATTACCATCTTTTGAGGACGGACCAAAATGGAACACAAGCCTACTATGTGATATTGAAGGAATATATATGTATGTGTGTGCATATTACAGAAACAGACTCATTGACACAATAAATTGTGGATCTTTTTCATGAATGTGAACTGTAAAAGGCCTAAAGTATTCTGGATGATAATTTCAAGGTTTAATGATGGTAACTGCCCCTATCGACCGTTAATAGGCAATCTAACTTGCACGGGTCAGTTCTGAATTCATTTAAAGTATTTGGGTGCTACATCACTTCTAATATTTAGGGAGATGTATCTTTTGTCATGCTCCCTGGCAAATCAATCAATTTCATTATATCAAATATTTGCTATCCGTGTTTAAATTTCATTATGTAATTCAATTTTTGCATTTTCTATACTTAGTGATACCAGTAATTTTCCAGGGTACAGAATATTATGATGCCAAAACCAAAAGGTATGTTGATTTTCCTATTACTGATATTCTGCAAATGATGGGTAGAGCTGGCCGTCCACAATTTGATCAACATGGGAAAGCTGTTATCCTTGTTCATGAACCCAAAAAGAGTTTCTATAAGAAGGTTAGGCGGCTTGTTGTTGGTGTTTGCAAGCCTTAGTGACTACACTATATGTACATCATTTTTATCAAGTGCTATTTATTGTTCTCCTTTCAGTTTCTGTATGAACCATTTCCAGTTGAAAGTAGCTTGAAGGATCAATTGCATGACCATATCAATGCTGAGATAGTTTCTGGAACTATCTGCCACAAAGAAGATGCAGTGCATTATCTCACCTGGACATATTTTTTCCGTAGATTGGTATAACTTTGGGATCTCTTGATTATGTCATCAAATACTAGATAGTCAAGCAATACATATTTCATCTACTCTCTTAGCACAATGATGTAGATACTATAGTGAAGCATCTCTTGGTCTACATTTACTTGATTTGGTAAACACTTGTAAGCCTGTGTACATTTGTAAGGCTGTTAATGTTACCAGTTGTGAGGGCACTACTGTGTAAGATTTGCCCCTATGTGACCTTTTGTTTCTGATGACCTCAAGCCATACAAGTGCTGCTGGTAACTAACTCGCATAGTTAAGGACTACAAGTTGTCAATAAGATTTGCAACATTCATCAACTTCGTCCCTTAAATACCCAAATTTCCAACAAGGAAATATCCTCATTTTTTAGTACGGAGAAGGGAATATTAAGATATCCAGAATGACTAGCGGTCAGTTATATACACAACATATTATGATCTAATTTAGAAACAATATTGAATATAGGTGAAATATTAAATCTTATATCAAGTAAGAATATGTCAAATTGTATGGTAATTGGGATCTTAGTTTTATATTCTCAACCGTCTGAAATACAATGAGGTTGGTTTTTGAAGTGTGCCTCGTCTTATTTAAGATTTTATGAATTGGTGGTAAAAAATTGATCATTTTCTAGTGATGGGTATTTGTCTCTAACAGATGGTGAACCCATCTTATTATGGATTGGAGGATGCAGAACCTGGAACAGTTAGCTCTTACTTATCTAGGTAGTCTGAACGTATTCCATTGGCTATGTCTGGGCTATCTTTTAAATTTTTTATTTTCATCTAAACCTTGCCGTTTTCCTTCATCCGAACTGTTAACAGCTTAGTACAAAGCACATTCGAGGACTTGGAAGACAGTGGCTGCATCAAGATCAGTGATGATAGTGTGAAGTCCCTAATGTTAGGGTCAATTGCTTCTCAATATTATCTCAAGTACACTACTGTATCGATGTTTGGTTCAAATATAGGACTAGACACATCACTTGAGGTCGGTAGGCTTTATAAGATGGTGTTACAATGTTACTACTTATTACTGGTAGTGATTTTATGTTTGAATCATTACAGTTTCTGTGAGCTCATCTTTTTATGTGTACCTTCATTTTGCCTTTAGGTTTTCCTTCATATTTTATCTGGTGCTTGTGAATATGATGAGCTTCCGGTGCGCCACAATGAGGTAATGTTGAATTTAAAATGATCGTAATGTTTTTCTTTATCATTGTTAAATGAATAAGTGCTACATTTTGATTGATACATCAGTGGCTGAACTCTTAATGGCCATTTAAGTACATTTGTTTTACACTTAAAAGAGTATTTACAATGCACAAAGCATGTACAAATATACAATATAGGAAGCATTTCATGGATCTGCATGTTTTGTACTCCATACTCTGTTTTTTGTTTATTATAGCATATTGTGACTGTAATTTTGTTTTCTGATGTTTTGATAATATTGCCCTTATGGCCTTACTCAATTGTTCTAAATCAACATTTAGGATTTTATGGCACTAATTGTGCTACCATAGCATTTTTCCAGTTGGACAATAAAGATATAGGATCTTGGTGTAGACCGGATGTGTATGACATTATGACCTATTTATTCCTATCTATGATTTTTTTTCGAGACGCTCTCAATGGTCATCACATCAATTTTCATTACCTTCTTGTACCTTTGCATTATTATAATTATCATATATTCATATTTTAGTTTTCCAATACTCGTGAAATAGAACACATGCATTCTCACTATATAAGTTTTCTTTCCTTCTAGCACCTCTTGCCTCTGGATTTGCTACCCACCAGATGACCACTTCCTGAGTTCTTAGTAACATATTGTTGATTTAGGAAGAGAAGCTTTTTGTATTACTTATTCCAGATCATACATCATGACTCCCATATATATATAGGGAAGTAAATGATACATTAAAGGACAAAAGAAAACTAAAAGTCATAATGGAAAATGAAAATTTAAGCTGCTGGAAAGTCTGGAATATAAAAAAGCATATGCTTTAAATGCTATTTCCAACACATATCACTTCTTTTCCTATATTCGCTTTGAAGATACAGCACAGGAATTATGTCCACTCATAGAACGTTAACACAAGATGATCTTCAACAATCTTGCCACTTCAATACTATTTCTCATTCTCTCACAGCAGGAACATAAAGTTTGCTCTGTGAAAATGGACCAAGTGGTATATTTTCTGCTTATTGTTTCAAATTACAAGAAAATCATGTAAAATGCACATGGGCAGAAACATGAAACTTTAAAGCGAAAAAAAAAAGCAAACTTGTTCAAACCTATGACTCTATGAGTTATGGAGGCATCAAATCAGCATACCTTCTCATGCATCTATGAGATTCTCTACCTCTTAACATCAATCATCCACAAACCATCTTGATTCTTGAGGCTTCCCCCAAGTAGAAACTTGAAAATCTAATTGAATCTTTAAAATGCAGTGCTTCATCAGAACTTAAACGGTTTTTAGGATCGCCCTCGAGATCCTATGATCGCATGATCCCATGTTTTCCACCACAGGGTTAGTGATCTGGATTGTTATTAGTTTCGCAAAATACTGCAATTGCATAGGATTGCCGAGTCAAATTGCAAGTTCTATGGATTGGATCCCCGTTTTTATCCATTTTAGTCGTCCTCCCAAATCCAAGAAACAAAGGGCCTTTTTCAAACCTAAGAAGCGTTCGAGTCCCAGTCAAATCATCATACCATTTATTGATGGAAGTGACCCACACATGCTGCTGGAACCTGCTGCCTGTCTTGCATACGCTCAATAGGTGGCTGGGATTTCAATTGGATGGTTGCCATCGGTTCACCTTAGCTCATATTCCCTTCCTGTGGAGTTGGCTTCCTTGTTTTCCTAGTTTCAATTTTGTCGTTTCAGTTTTAGCCTTTGGGCCACTAGCGAAGAGAAAATGAAGAAGCTGAAACATATCACTCGAAGACTAGAAGCTTCTTCACTCCCTGTGTGATATGACGTCATCTCCTCCAAGCTCCTCTGCTCGAGCAGTCATAGCTAGGCCCACAAACACTGTGATCGTGAATAGTGAGTTCACTTTCACTACTGCCATCATGATCTTTACTGTGTGCATTCTTGCACGTTACAAGCTGTCCTTCCCTGTTATTTTATCACTTTTACTTCATAAAAAATATGCCGTTCTTGTCACTATCATTAGCATTTGAAATATCCAAGTACCACCAGAAATCTAGTACACGCATGTCTTTCATTGCCTCTAGTGCTAATTCACGTCATGTAAACACATGTCCCTTATTGCCGTCATGTAAATGAGTGGTTGACTCTGGAGCTGCGAATCACATGACAGGTAACCCAAACTTATTTTAAGCGAAAAGCGACCAAAAGCGAGAACTTAGAGCTTTTATAAAAAGCGAAAGCGCTAAGCGAAGCGTCGCTTTTACACAAAAAACGATGGCTATAGAAAAATACAAATATAAAATATTCCAATGCATATTTAAGTCAAAAACACATCAATAGTCATAATACTCATAATAGTACTAATAATGCGACATAAAGGTAGAAAATATCCATCACACAATGTCATAATAATGTCATAAAATCAACTGTACGAAGCATTATCACTCCATAATGTCATCCTCCACATGAATGTTCCCTTCTTCTTCATCCATAACCAAAGCATCGAAGTCATCACTATCATCATTATACACCCCAACATCTTCTTCATCTTCTTCCTCATCTTCATCAACAAGCCTATGGGTGGAGGCTTTTTCCTTGGACTTGGAAGTTCCCACTTTTTCTTTCCCTTTTGAATTGCATCTTAGAGAATATGGTGTATCATGTACACCGGAAAACTTCGCAACGTCCCCCCATGTCAAAGTATCTCCATCATCAAAGACCAACTCTTCGTTTGCATCATCAAGAGTACCCGTCAACCATTCATTTGCCATGTCTATATATTCTAAACAAATTGGATCGATAGAGTCACGCATTTCCCACCGACGCCTCAATGCCCTATTGTACTTAACAAAAACCAAATCATTGAGGCGCTTGTACTCTAGACGACTTCTCCTCTTTGAATGTAACTGTTAAGCATTTAAATATTGTTGTTAGCATAGTCAGTTGAAGTAAAAATGAAAATGATCTTACTTATTTACATTTAAATAATTATTCTTACATGTTCAAATACGCTCCAATTCCTTTCACAACCTGATGCACTTGTTGTTAAACTAAGAATCTTGATCGCAAATTCCTTTAAATGAGGAGCACTAGCACCAAATGATGTCCACCAATCAACTAGAGAATAAATTTAAAAAGTTAATGTATTAATTTTTTAAAATAAAGAATATATAGAACGATTAAAAAATATTAACCTGGGGGCTTGACACCTCGTTGTCTCTTCGCAAATGAGCTGCTAAATAATCCATGTCCTAGCTCCCAAGTTGACACTTCATTTGCGATTTTCGTTTGAAGTTCTTCATTTGGAACCAATCTCTCCAAACAGTCATAAAATCCTGCTACCACCTCAGCCGAATTAATGGTAGAAGACACCGGTGACTCACCTGGAAATCGAAAGAAATCCGGATTCAAGAAGAAAGCAGCCGCGTGCAATGGTTGACGGAGTTGAGAAGTCCATCTCGTATCAATTATCTCAAACACTCTCTTGCACTTCGTTTCGTCATTGTTGAAGGCTTTGGCTATTGCTGATTTTGTTATCTCCATTGCGGGATAAACATATCCCATAGCCGGTTTGACATCTCCATCAACCAACCGAAGTGTCGTCATAAGTGGTCCTCCAACTTTAAGTGCCTCATGAAGTGTATTCCAAAAGGATGGCATTTGCACAATTCGGCCACACTCCTTTGCCGCCTCTTCCTTGGAGTAATTAGTTGTTAGGAACTCTTCATAATTAAAAAGTTTTATCAACTTCATCTTGTGCTCCTTCAACCTTTTGAATGTCAAGAAAGCCGTGGCAAATCGTGTTTTAGCAAATTTCACCAAGTCTCTCTTGCCGGTGAATTTTCTAAACAAGTTCAACAACTTCGTTTTGGAATGGATGTAGATCGACAGCTTGAGAGCTCTTTTGTAGGTTGTCTGGAAATGCTTAAGGTCAAATATATCCTTGAACATCAAATTGATGCCATGAGCAGCACAAGGAGTCCAATACATTGCGGGGTACTTCTCCATTAAATCCTTACCTGAGCGATTACAATTGACTATTATAATTTTAATTAATTAAAAAAATATTAAAGATAAAGAATAGAAGTGTAAAAAGATAATTACCAGCTTTGACATTTTCACATTGTCTGATATCACTTGAACAACATTTTCACTTCCCACCCTATTCACAAAGATTTCGAAGAGCTCTAGCATTTTCTCCCCATTCACGGTGTCCAAACATACTTCAACTGATTGGATGAAATACGATCCAAGTGAGCAATTAACTAGGACGTTGATATACGCCCGATTTCTTCGATCAGTCCACTTATCCATCATTAATGAACAACCATATTGGTTGCAAGTATCCTCATGTGGTTTAAAAAGCTCTTTCACATGATCTACTTCTTTTTTGAGATATGGCACTCTCACTTCATGGTAAGTAGGAGCCTTCATGCCTGGCCCATGTTGTGCCACAGCATCAATGAAACTTTGTAGCGTCTTATAATTCACGCAATTAAATGGCAACCCAGCTTCATACATCCATCGTGCAAATGCAGTTACAGCCTTTTCTCTCAACTCTTTTTTGCAAGTTGCTAGAGTTACTTCTACCCCTCTTGCTCTTTTCAATTTTTGATGTTCTTTTGAAACACTTTTGAAGTACAAATTCATTGGGCCTTTTATTGTTGATGTTTTGCTCGTACCATCTTCACATTCAATCTCCTCAACATCATCATCATCAAAATCAGGACCTAAAGAGTTCTCTTTCAAATATTCTTTTCTTTGATTTTTTGCATCCAAAACCTCTTTCATGGCAATTCTAACTTCTTGAGGACACTTGTCACATGCCTTCACACATCGAAAGCCACCGACAAGATGTTGCTTGTGACGGTATATGCCTCCAGTTGTTACTTTATCACAATAAATGCATCGAATACGAGTATAATCATTTTGTGAGACTTTCTCTCCATGCTGCCATGCCGGGTCCGTCGTTTTGGATTGCATTCCCGACATTTTCCTTTAGACGTACATGTTTCAAAAATGTATAATGTTTAAAACCAGGCAAGTTTGTTAAAAAAAGCCAAATAATAAAACCAGCAGCACTTTGTTCATTCCCAGGCTGGGGATGGAATGTACATGTGCAATGGGACTATGGGAGACTACTTTAAAATACAATAAGTAGCAATAAGTAGCAGCAGATGGAGAGAGCAGTTCAATCGCAGCGGAACAAAGAAGAAATACAGCAAAACAAAGAAGAAGATAGGCAGTAGCAGACCAGTCACCACTCACCAGTGTGAAAAGCAGAGTAGCAGCGGATGGACTGATGGAGAGAGCAGGTCGTGCGATGGCTTTGGTGATGGAGAGAGGAGGTCGTGCGATGGCTTTGGCGATGGAGAGAGGAGGTCGTGTGGATGGCTTTGGCGATGGAGAGAGGAGTAAGGAGTTCGTGCGACGCAGAGGGGAAAAGAAACGGGCAGTGTTCGTTAAACCTAATTCCGGAAAAACAAAAAAAATAGGATTTAAGCCATCTGGACAGTCATCTTCGCTTTTCGTGAGAAGCCCATAATAATCGCGCTTTTTGCGCTTCAGCTCAGCGACGGAAAAGCGTCGGAAAGCTGCGCTTTCTCACGGAGCTGCGCTTCGGAAAAGCCAGGCGCAAAGCATGCGCTCGCTTGCGCTTCAGCGCTTAAGCGCGCTTTTGGTCGCTTTTAATAAGTTTGAGGTAACCCCAATTTATTTAACTTTTCATTCAGTCATTGAGTACTCAGGTTGCTCTTCCTGAGGATTATCCTATGAAGTACCATTCTGAAAGGTTTTCTCTCCGTTCACGCCTCCTGTACTGAAATAAATACTCACTCAACTCAGTATGAAGGTTCATATTTAACGTAGTGGTATTGCCACATTATTTTTGACTCCCTTTTACGTCTTACATGATTCAAAATGGTATGATTCACCAATCCTCTAGTGTAGAAACACCATCCCAAATAGGTTTGATGAAAGAAAAATAGACACTTATTAGAAACATCACGAGCTCTCTTGTTTAAGATGCATGTCCCGAAGCACTTTTGGTGGATGCAATTTCAATGGCCTGTTTCTTAATGAATCGCATGTCATCTTCTGTTTCTTAGAATCATGTCATCTTCCCCGGTAAACCCTTGTTTCATCCCCGGGTTACAAAATTCGACCCAAAATCTGAGAAATTTATGTTCTCAGGTTTATATTGAGTTCAAAAGGGTTATCAATGTTATTCTCCTTTGAAACGTAAGTATCTAGTCTCACTGGATGTCACCTTTGATGAGGATGAACCATTCTCACTATCCCTGACCCAATCTCCTCACAGGGAGGAACATGACATTCTTATATACGGCCACTACCGCATCTATATCAAAATTTGCACCTACCCAACAACTTCCCTTTACACAGGTATACACCCACATTTAAATATAACATTTTAGCAAATGAGCCTGATCCCATCCCATAACCTCCCATCACACGGATATACACTCTCAGAAACCAACCTGTCATTCCAGTAGTAACTAGTAACTGAGTCGCATTGACACCGGTCTCATGTCCTGCACCAGCTTCTTCAACATTGGATACTTGGATCCTGTCCCCTAAGATGATCTCCCGTTGCACTTATAAACGTAAACAGTCTTGCACACATCCAATATCCTCTTTTGTCTCATACACTCAGTTGTCTCCACAATTTGTACTTTCATAGCTTCTCTTGATAATATCTTTGTTTTTAAAACTTCAAAATTGGCCTTATCCCATCCTGGATGACGCAATGCTATGTTTGAAGAAATAATTACTTTGGATTACAATCGTACTTGGGATTGGATGGAATTATCCGCAGGGATGAAATCAATTAGGTGTCAATGAGTGTTTGCTGTCAAAGTTAATCCGAATGGGTCTGTGGGCCTCTGGCTCGACTGAAGGCACAACTACTGGCCAAAGGGAATGCACGAACCTACGGTGTTGATTGTTATGATTCCTTTTTTGTGGTTGCCAAAATAATTTTTATCAGATTGTTCATATCACTAGCTGCCGTCATTGATTGGTCCTTACATCAGTAGGTAAATAATACATCAAAAGACAAACACACACAGAGAAATATGAATAGTCAGGCAGGACATATTACGAGTTAAATGCATGCTGAAACTCAACACAAGCCCAATAATTATGCTAATTACGTTCTTGGTCGACTGCTCTTTTATTTTCCTTGTTGTGTATCAGGGTCTTGTCATTTTTATTTTCATTGGATATGCTTAGTTACCTACATAGTCGGGCGTTAATGGTTCACCTTCCTCTATTCCTCATTACCAGATTCAGAGTAAAGCCTTCCTAAATTGTACAATCAAATCTTTGCCTTGGGGTTGTAGTTAATTAATTAATTAATTTAGTTATTTACTTTCCTTATTTTTTATTATATTATTTTTGCCAACTTCAACATTGCCTCCATGTTTCTTTTATTTTTGAAGTTTTCATGATGTTTGCTTCAGGAAAAATATAATGAAAGTTTGATTGATAAAGTTCCATACATGGTGGACACTAATCGCCTAGATGATCCTCATGTGAAAGCAAATCTTCTGTTCCAGGTTAGTGTTAAACTTGGCTAGTTTTTGTCTCTCCATCCCATAGTACAAAAACATCTACTTTTAGTATGATTTGTTGTAAAACAAAAAATCTATATACTTGTACTCCCTCCGTCCCAACTTGTAAGATACACTTTGCTTTTTGGGTTGTCCCAAAAATATAATCACTTTCCTAAATTGGATTCCACTAACTTTTTACTTTCCCACTTTATCCCTTTATTTATCACTTCACCCTTTACTTTTTGTGGACCCATCTTATTCTTACTTTTTAGAGGTTAGAAGTGTAAAACAACCACTTTATCCTATATTTTCTTAAAACCCGTATCAAACTCAGGTGCATCTTACATTATGGGACGGAGTTAGTACTATTTTATAGTTCCCCTCAAATAGAGCTTGTATAGTCAAATCTTTATATTTGCCGGATTAGAAATGAGTGCAGGACAAATAAAATGTGATAGGAGTAATTGATATCAGATTGCTTCAATTTGAATTGTTTATGTACTAGATTTCATCGGGACATTGCTTGATCCTCTCATGAGGAGCTAGACTTCATGCCTTGTCCAACCCGCACTGACCCAACCCAACCCAACCCAACCTGTACTGGGTTATGCTTTTCGTGGATTGGGTCAAGCAAACCTGTTTAATGGCGTATTAGAGTTAAAAGGCCTAAAAGTAATTACTTGTATATTTTTATGCTGGTAACTAGTATCAAAAGGAAATAGAAGAAGTCAAACTACAAAGAAATAGTAGTAATAAGTAGTATAATATTGCACCTCTTGCACTTGAACCTTTTGACTTTTGAGTACTTTTTTAACTTGACTACTTATAAGTCAAAATTATTTTGAACTATTACATAAAATATATCAAACAACTTATTTGAATATTTATTTGAGTATGTGGAGTGCATGTTTGGTGGAGCTTCATAATTCAGGAAAACAGTGAACTAGATAGAGATGTTTCCCATAGAATCAGACCAAGGTGGATAAAATGGAAGAAATGCGTCAGGATTTCTATGCGATCGAGGTATGCTGACAAGACTGAAGGATAAGTTTTATCGGACAACAATTAGGCCTGCATTACCATATAGCATAGAGTCTTGGGCGGTGAAACAATGTAACATTCAAAAAGTGAGTGTGACTTAGATGTGCATGTTGCGTTGGATGTGTGGACATACTAGAAAAAAACCGCTTGAGAAATGAGACAATGAGACAAAAGGTGGGAGTAGCGTAGCACCTATTGGAGATAAGATGTGAGAGTCTTGATTGTGGTGGTTTGATCATATTAATGTTCCAAACACATACAAAAAACACCCACAGCCAAAATAAATCCTAAAGAACTAAATCTATTATTAATTAGTTGAATCCCAAACAAATTATTTAACCTACAAAAGTAACTCTGCTAGTCCTGCTATTGTTAAAAAGTTGTAGCAGTGGTTTTTCAAAATATCAAAATCAAGAACGCCACCATTTTATATCTTTTTTCAATAAAGTATAATTATTCAAATAATCAAACAGAAAACAGAAAAATGCTGCAGAAAAAGAAGCCCTGAATTTCAGTAAAAGCGAAAGAACTCTAGGAAGCAAGTGTGTTGTCATAGTCAGGGAAGGAGGTTAGCAGATGTTTGAGTGAAAATTGAAGGAGTTGAAGCATATATGCAAGTCGAAAACAAAGAACAAATATGTTGATGATTTGGATCAACTAATTAATAATATATAAGTAGGCTGCAAATGAAGCACGAGACGCTTAAATATAGAAACATGAGATAAAATACTAGATTACTAGAATGTAGTCTAAGATAACCTGGATCCAAGTTTCATAACCAGTGGGTACCATTTTGGATTGCATAGGTCAAAGATAAGGCTTTAGAATGTACCATGTTAGAAATGGACAACGGGACAAGAACTCCATTGGAATCTTTTGCCCATTGGCAGTCAACATTTCTATCAAACAATCGGAAAAAGCTGCCTGCTTTGCCCAAGGGAGATGAACCCCCACTGCAGGAACAGAGGTCCCTAAGTTAGACAAACATCTGGCAAAATGTCTCGAACTTGTAGGAAACACGTGATGATACGACAGGCAGCAGTGCAGAGGGTTTTGGGAGTGATGGTGGGATTGGTTTATCTTAACTTCAATAGAGATACACCGGCAAGAAAGAAGAAAAATTCAGGTGCAGGTGCTATTCTTCAAATCATCAGTACTCTTCTCCATAGGTAAAGAAGTCAGGAGATCTGTGATGGATAAGTATGAATAGCCTAGGATGCTATGATACCTTGAAGGTTATGATAGGGAATAATATAGTAGGATGTACTCCTTATTTCTCAAACGTCATCAAATACTAATCAGCACACTATTACATAATGTTCAACACACTATCACAACTAGGGTTAGTGCTCTCTTATAACTTATAATGGGTTTCTACAGGCACACTTCTCCCAATCAGAGCTACCAGTGGTTGATTACGTTACAGATATGAAGTCAGTGTTGGATCAAAGTATACGTATTATCCAAGCTATGATAGATATTTGTGCAAATAGTGGGTGGCTATCAAGCACCCTCACTTGTATGCATATTTTGCAAATGGTCATGCAGGTATTCTTTCCACCAAGTATGTTTTATCTATATATAAAATGGCCATGTACAGTGTACTCATAATTGTCTCCTTCACACTACCTTCCTTTGTGCTAGTAACTCGTTATTTGATGGCTCTTGTAGTCCCATATAATGCCTTTATTAATTCTAGAAGAGAAGTGTATTGAGCTCTATCCTTTAGAACTCAAACTTCTTGGTTTACTATGATAGGTAAAACATTTTAAATTTTTGCTTTCTTTATACGGACACCAAGACACCCTTCCAGATTGAGGGTAGCTTACCAAGTTAACTTAGAGGGTGTATTTGTTGTTTCTTATGAGTTATCAATGTCAATTAGAGTTCGAATACTAATATATATGCAGAGCTGCAACATGGGCACTCGTCTTTTTTGAATACCATGGAAAGGAAGAGGCGCGAGGATGAAGCTGAATAGCATGGCATTTTCTTACTCCCCACCTTGAGGACAAGGTGGTTGTCAAAGGGGGAGCAATGATAGGGACCTAAATAGTACTAGTATTAAGAATATTATTAAGTAATTTATATTGTACAATAAAAGGCTTCTAGGCACCCAAGGTTTGAAACTCAATGGAGTGAGTTTCAGCCTTGATTACTCCAGGCCCCCCAGTCCCCCCTCCTCCAGACCCCCCTGGAGTACAAAAATATAATAATAATAAAATAAATAAATAAATAAAAGGTATCTAGGCCCAATAACTTAGGCCTGAGGGCTGGGCCTTTAGTAGAAGCAATATAATATTGAGCTTATAGGGGGGAAAGAGGTAGGCAGAACTTGGAACTTGGGCTGGGATCTGGGAAGGTGAGGCCTCTCGAAGCGCCTCATCTGTATTTTATTTTCCGTTTTTGCACTTTTCCTTCTTAATAGATGTCAATTTACTGTTATGAATTTGGAGTTCCCATCAGAATCTAATTTGTTTAATCCAATACTTCACCTTTTCATTTCCTCAATTAATCACCTCCTTTGTTTTCAGGGCTTATGGTTCAATAGGGATTCTCCTCTTTGGATGTTGCCATGCATGACCAAGGATTTATATAGCTCATTAAGTAAGCTGGGTATTATTAATATCCAGCAACTATTGGATCTTTCTCCTGCAAAGCTGCAACCTGTCATAGAGAGTTCTGTTTTCTCAAAACTGCATCAGGTGCCCTTCCTAGTATCAGATAATTCAATCTTGAATGTGGACATTTAATACTTCTACTACAAGCTGTTACAGTATAAAGCTCTTGCTGTATGACCTGAAAGTCACAGGTTTGAGCCGCAAAAACATCACGTTACTGAAATATGTATGCTAAGGCTGAGTACATTTTGCCTTAATTACCTGACCCTGTCCCCACATATGTGCCCTTTATGGCTAACTTTATTTGCTGTTAGCCAATGACACTTGGACACAGCATTCTAGAACTGTGAAGTTGCTATGCCTGTATGGTGTCTATGCTACTTGTAAGAATATACATGACTTGTTTCTATGGTTCACTGGGGAAAGAACGAGTTTAGGCCCAAGGTTGCTGATCAAACACAAACACACATGTGTATATTTTATTTCAAAACATCACTGATCATTGATCACAAATGTCCCTTAAATTGATCGATTTTATGCCATCATATCTTACACAGTTTAATAGTCCTATTTAACAGAACACTCTGACAAACAAATACTCTTGAAATACAAATAAAGTCGAAATGATAGCAGATTGTACCTTCGAAAATTAACATAAAGAAATCGCACCAGAGACCCATTCAGAAGTAAACAAGATTGCTAATAATTATCAGAATGTAATTAAATATAGATGAAAAAGGGCAGCCCAATCCACATTGGCGTCCCCGCAAGGCGAGTCTGGGAAAGGGTCCCACTACTAGGGTGTATAGTGGGCAAGCTCTCCCTTGTCACCTGTGAGTCTGTGACCTCTCGGTCACACAACTCCCCTTCATGTAATTAAGATATAGTAGCATTGAAATTCTTCAGCTATTTCTTCGTCACCTCTAAACATTTTGATATTATAATGGACAAATCATTGTAATCGGTTTTTACATCTCTGGTGTAGTTTTCCTTAATATAATCTTCACTTTATGTGGCAAGGCTCTCCACAAATCTCACAATACTCAGATTTTTAATTTATACAGAATTAGGATTTTCTTTATAAACTTCCCTCAACTGGTCCTTCTCTGCGTATCATAAAGCATCGAACAAGGGATCGTAGTTATACATGACACTCCTTTTTCAGCCAACATTACTTCTTAAATGTGATATAGATTTGGTGTTATAATAATGATAGTATAAGGATGTTTTTACTTGGACTGTAATTTGCTGGTCTGGTCTGGTCTGAAGTGGTTTGGTCTGGTTTCTTTGTATTTTTATAACTATCCAAGTCTGGTCTGAACTGGTCTGAAGTGGTCTGGTCTGGGACGAATTACAGTCCAAGTAAAAACATCCTAAGCTAACAACTGAAACATTATGCTTCTCAAAGTAGTTTTTCATAAACTGAATACCTTATTGTGATGTCACCACAACAAAGTGATTCCCTTGGTGTGTTTTTTCCAGAGATCGAATTTGTGAAAAAATGTCTTGAGAAGAAGTGTTTCAGTTGTTAGCATATACAGTTACCCACTTACCCTACATATATGTAAACACATATTGCTGGTTTGCTGCTGCGAAGTAATGTCGGGTCTAGAAAGAGTTTCACGTGTAACTATGGTCCCTGTAAAATATGTTTCCATATGGGGAAAAGGAAAACTTAAATAGGCGGCCCCTTTTCCCTATACAAATCGGAGTATTCTAAGATTCGTGCGGAACCTTGCCAAGCACCTTCTGGATTTTATGAAGGGATACAATCCAAAAGATGTAAAAGCCGTGTATGATGCGATTTCTTCATTGTGACCACCATCATGTAAAAGAAAATGCAACACCGTATATGCATATGTGGTTGGCAGTTGTTGCCGACTGTTATAGAAAGTAGTGGAGGTTGTGTAGCAACAATATTTCATCCATGTGTGTGCGTGCACATGCATATATATATATATATATATATATATATATATATATATATATATATATATATATATATACATATATATATATATACATATATATATATATACATATACATATATATACATACATATATATACATATATACATATATATACATATATACATATATAGATATATATATATATATACATATATACATATATATACATATATACATATATATATAGGAAAATTCTCAGGTCCAGCACCTCCCGGTCCGAACGCCGTCCAAACACCGCCGTTTGGGGCGGTTCCCGGTGGAATTTTTTGATGAAATTTTTTGAGCATGTTCCTCATCAAATCTAGTTTATCCATACCAAATTTCAGCTCAAAATTCGATCGGGAAAGCATTCAAATAATTCGTTGAAGTTAACTGCGTTTTTCTATGTATAATTTGGCGCAGTTAACTTCAACGAATTATTTGACTGCCTTCCTGATCGAATTTTGAGCTGAAATTTGGTATGGATAAACTAGACTTGATGAGGAACATGCTCAAAAAATTTCATCAAAAAATTCCGCCGGGAACCGCCCCAAACGGCGGTGTTCGGACGGCGTTCGGACAGAAAAGTGCTGGACAAGAGAATGACTGTATATATATACACACACACACACAGCTTGTGGTAATGCAATACTCGGATCTAAGAATTTGAGTTGGACAGGGCTACAAATTGGTCGGACTAGGCTGAAGGAAATATTGGGATGGGTTAAATAGAAGGCAAAGAAATAGTTTGCATTACAAAAGTTTTTAGAAAAATAGTATGTCCTAGGGTAGATCCACACCTGTGCAGCAGAAATGTTTTCCATCAATTCATCATCCTTGGTGACAAATGTTGCATTGTATATTGTTTCTCTAAAGTATGACTCAAAATGTCCTCTTCTTTGCATGAACTGTTTGAATCCAGATTTGTCAGACTTGTAGTTGCGATTTACGAATGCTTTCTCCCTCACAGGAACTACAGAATTTTCCCCGTATACAAGTCCGGTTAAGAATTCAGAGAAGAGAAGACCTCACCACTCTAAACATCAGGATGGAAAATATTAACATGGGTCGTAGAAAATCTAAAGCTTTTACACCTCGGTATCCAAAGGTAAATATCAGCTGTCATTAGTCCGTGATCTGTAGTGATGTAAATTGACACCGTAACTTTGGCAGATAAAAGATGAAGCATGGTGGTTAGTCCTTTGTAATACCATTACTTCAGAGCTACATGCTTTAAAGAGAGTTTCCTTCTCTGACCGTTTAGTGACACACATGGACTTGCCGTCTGGTCCCAACAGCTTCCAGGTTGTAGAATATCTATTTAATAGAGTTTCTTTTTCCTTTTTTTAAAGGTGATAGTATTAAGTTGTATTTTTAAAGTAATACTACTGCACTAGTTATTTTATTTTTGCCTCCAGTTTTTCCCAAAGCTAAGTTGTCATCATTAATGCCTGGATTAGTTTAATACATAGCTCCATAAATGTTTTAATCTTCTAACATCTGCAAAATTATCCTCATCTTGCTGCTGTGACTCCTATCATTAAAGATTTATTTGTATTGTTGATATGGTTGTACTTTCAACTTCAGGGATTGAAGCTCCTTCTAGTTTCAGATTGTTATCTAGGGTTTGAACAAGAGTACTCCATAGACGAATTTGCCTAGTTTGATAATATCTGCAGTGAATTGGGAGTCTGTGGATTTGTTTGAATGATTGAACACTGGAACTGGGCAGCATTGCTGCATGGAAGTTCAATCCGGAATCATTTCAACAAGTGCAAAGCCGTACATCGACTTATTAGCTTTCCATAACATTTTATCTTTGTAGTGCACGCTTTATGTTGGGTTCTTTACCAATTAGTTGTTTAGTTCCTTGTAATTTTCACTTCCGCTCCTATGTGCTTATTATTTTGATATTTTCTAATTACTTTCATCTGTTATTAGTTCCCTGCATAAAAGTAAGGGAAACATTGTAATTTTAACTTCCTCCCGCCCTTATTTGATTATTGTTTTCTAAACACTTTCATCTTTTATTAGAAAGTCTAGTAGAAACTTTGTGCTTTCTATAAAGTTTATCTGTCAAAAGCATTTTTTACAATCTGATTAAACGCCTTTTGTTGTAAAAGAAGATATAATCATAGTGTAATTTATTTGTTTGTTTATTTATTTATTTATTTTGTACATATTTCTAAGAGGACATTTAGACCTGCCTTGGATTGATGTTCAAACGAAATGATAAAAAAATGCATTGCCATGTCAGCAAAGCAGATTGCAGAGTGCAGACTGTGGGGTTAAGAGCACCTTAAATGCTAAAATGTTAACGCCGGTGCGTATGTGGCATGAGAAATAATCAATTAAAAAACAATAAATAGAATATCCCTCTCCTTATTTGAATGATCTTACATTATTTTGGTAAGTTTTTCTTCTCAGTGTCAAGCACAATGTTTAGATGTAGACGTTGTGGTTGACATTAGTCTTGGACTCGAGCCGGGTCGGGCTAGGGCTGGGACTAGGTCCAGTCAGGCCACTGGTTCTGAATAGATGGGCCCAGAACCGGCCTGGGTACCCACCGGGTCAGGTACAGGTCCAGGCAGGGCTTGGCCTATTATCATTTTTTCCCCTTTTCCTAATTAACCCCCTCCCACCCCATATCACCCCAAATAGCCCAAAATACCCCACCCAACCTGAAAAGGTAAAAAAATTGAAAAAAAAATTCAATTTTGGTCCGAACCGGGCCCGGGCTCGGCCTTGTTTTGGGTGACCCGAGCCTGGACCGGAAAACCCACGGGTCGGGCCTACCCAGACCCGTCACTGACCAGGCCATCGGATCAGGCCGGGCCAGAACAGTACCGGTCTCGTGCCGGTTCCGGGTTGGGCCACTCGCCTTGAATCCAACACTAGTTGACATTGTAGAGAAAAATTTATCAAAAACACATAAGACCGTGAAAAGGAGAGATGTTATAAAATCAATATACATTCCACATGTGCACCGTGCACATTATAGCATTGGAGATGCTCTAAATTGATAAAATATACATTCCAATTGAAAGTATTTGCCGTCAGCAATTTTTCACAAATTATCGTCAAAGTATTTGGTGAATAATTATCGTCAAAGTATTTGGTGAGTAATTGAAAGTATTTGCCGTCAGCAATATACATTCTGGATGCTGTTTGTGTTCCAAATAATTATTTGAGTATTGACAGACAATTTTTCACAAATTATCGTCAAAGTATTTGGTGAATAACCGTCTTTCGCTGAGTCAAACTGTCTAGCATGCTTGCTGAGAATTGATAGGGAAATAGACATTGTGGGCAAATTTATATTCCAGCTCAGCATCACAGCAAAACAAACGGTACCTTTGGAAACTTATATACAACATAAATAAACAAATGAAAATATAATTGAACAAATAATGTGAAAGTTATCCAGCTTGAATCGATATTGTACTTTCTCCATAGCATTTTCCGAGTTCAAAAGTCAAAACTAACCCAATTTGTATTCAACTTTCCCAAATAAAATTAAACATACTACAATTCTCATCAAAAAGCAACGCTCCGATGCAGAAGCGAAGAACAGAGTATCATCCAACCTTTGGGTCTGGAATTTAAATGTCTTCTCTTCTGGTATATAATATTTAACAGGATACAACAACTCTTAAAAGTCATTAAATTGCAAACACATTTGCTAACTTTGACTAAATGGATTTAAAACGAGTTGCTTTAAGAATATTGTATCAATTTGAAGGCTCACTTATTCCTCACCTTTTTTGACTTTTTTTCTTGAGAATGGCCTGCTGATCCCGAAGTGGTTATTGAACTATTAGCTCTTTTAGAATCCTGCAATGACTGGTCAGCGGATGTTGGATGCCCACTGCCACTTCTTTCCTTGGGAGACTTAGGCTGTTCCCCTGATTTGGATGAGGGACTCTTGTGTCGGCTTTTAGGAGCGGAGGCAGTATAGACAGTTGTAGATTGCAAGAGTTTTTGCTTACTACTTTTAGTAGCACTCGAGGGATGGAAAGTTGATGCTGTCTTTGTGATGGTTGAAGACCTTTGAGCTAGCTCCTTCAAACCAGTTTTGATCTTTTTCTGATATTCACTAGGCTCTGGATAGTGTATAAAAGAAACATCCCTCGAAAACTTTCCAACTGCCAAAACATTCCTTAAAGTCAAAGCATTGCATAAAAGGAATAATGCCCCCCCCCACACACACACACACACACAAACACACAAACTGTCCATGGTTTTAACTTAGCGCACAAAGGACTGCGCGAGAATGATTATAATAGTCGCCCGTTTAAATGGTGCTTCGGGGATTGTATATGAAGTTTTTGTAAATTTTGGAAAATGAAAATGCAACTTTTGTCCCCTACGTTTTTGGAGGTTATCACAGAATTATAGAGTAGATGTGACCTATGCTTAAGCTATAGAAGATAAACTATAGAGGAGATGGTCCAAACATCGTCCTAGGCTATAGTGACTTTCCAGTTCAGTTTTCAATCAACGAAAAGTTTTCGAATTTGCTTCTGTTAGGATTTTCAGTTACCTGAACATATATTTGAGAGAGAATTGTTTTTAAAATAATTGCATTATGCAATATGCATCAAAACCCTGAACTTGAATTGAAATGCATGAAAGAACATAAAATACACACCAACTTTAGCCTCTGAAGAAGGTGAAAACACTGTTAGCTCTGGATTCTGGGCTTTTAAACTGTAAACATCATAAGACTTTCCTGTCAAAAAGAAAAACATTTTCCAAATAACAAAATGAGAGCTTAGTACTTACATGTTGATCAAATTTTCTGAAAAGAGAGGATTTAAAATATAAACAATGAGGCTTAGATTGGTTGAAGTACTTGCCAGAAGGACTCACAAAGCTGCCTAAATTTCCATCACGATTAAGCTCGAGTGACACTTCTTGCCCATCAAAATCTTTAGCCTGGAACATCCCCAAGAGAAATATAATTAATTTGACACCAAATAAATAGCAGAAATATAGATTCCATCACTATACAATATAGTTGTATAAATTACAGTTGCTCTTTCCAAACTACAGATATTCTCTACCTCATATTGTAGTGACAAGGGAACACACAAAAAAACTCCATATAAAACGCCAAGTTCATTCAGAATCATATTCAACTTACAAAGTATGTCTGATCATTCACACATCGGACAAGAATTCTTTACTTTTAGACAAAAATGAAAACATCAAAATGTCGCATAGTGACATTTTTTAGAGAGCACACAACATATTACATGAGGGGTAAATAATGCCAGAAAATGAATGAACACATACATGATTTAGGGGCCATTGCATGAGCCAGAGTTCAGTTGAATCTGTTAAGTTAAGCACAACCAGTGGATCTCTTTTATCCTCTTCAAAATCAGGAGGAGGTTTGTAGCCCAATTCACCGGCATCACCCATTGCTTGATAGCTCAACCTCCAAGAGAGGTGTGATCGATATAACCAGGGCCTTGACTTTTCAAGTCAAAGAAGTTAAACTTTGAATGATTATATATTTATACAGTAATATTGATGATATGAAAATGATACAAAAATGTTCTTCGTTAGAAATTTTATCATATAAAGTATAAATTTATTAAGTTTCACATTAATATATTAGTTAAAATAATGGATCAAGGTTTATCATATTTGACTGAAAATGTCAAATATGGCTAAATAAAAAGGGACGGAGGTAGAATATCTTAAAATTTAAACGTTTCTAGTGTGATTTTATAAGTTTATTAATGATTATTAAAGATTTTAGTATTTATTGATATGAATTAAAATACTTCTAAAAGTATAAAATTAATAGGTAAAATAATCATTATACATAAAACTAATAAGTATTCCCCATTTTAAAATTGAATTGAGATTTTTAGTCCTTTCTCTATTCTTTTATTGTATAATAAATAAATCTTTCTCTAATCTTTAGTTCTATCTTTAATCATTATAAATAAATTTATGATGAATGAACACTATTTTATTATCTACTGGAAAATACAATTAATAATCAAATTGATTCCCTAACCCTAAAAGGCGAAAAATAATAGGGTAAAAACAATAGTACTGTTAGCAGTGTTAAATTAATAATATAAAATAATCAAATTGATTTCCTAACCCTAAAAGACTAACAAAATAATAGATTAAAAATATAAAAGACTAAACTGTTAAAAAACTTAAATTATACCTGGACTGAGCGGACCCCTGGAGCAGTGGAGCTGGAGGCAGAGGCAGCAGTCCGCAGGCAGGGCCGGATCCGGAGAGAGGAAGAACGGTGGACACAGGGCCCTGGTGTTCGCGTCTTTGTCGCTTGGTCGTAGCCACAGGCGCCAGTCCGTCTTCGTCAATCGTTCTTCGACCTTCCTACTATTCTTCGCAGTCCTGACTCCTGAGCTCCACGTTCTTCCAGTTTGCGTGAGAGGAGGCGCAGGTAAGTTGAAAGGTTTGGGCTGTGGGTGGGCTGGGATTTAATTTTGAGGTTTTGAGGTGGGCTGATAATTAAACTATACCTATACTAATTTTAAAAAAAATGGACTGGGCTGGAGCCCACCCTTGACAGTCATCCGCTCCTGCATGTTGTAATCTTCATGTTGGTAGCATGAAAATCCGCTGATTTGGCTGATTTTGCTGAAATTTATGAAGTTCTGGCTGAAGTGGCTGCATTGGCTGATTCTGCTGATTTAAGGAAAAAAAAATACTTTTAAAATATATTTTATTAATATAATAAAGAAAAAATTATATGTAAAAATAGCTAAAATAGTCATCTACAATAACTTCAGCGAATACAGCCAGAAAAGTAACTACAATCTTACTTTTTCTGCTTATTACACAATTCAGCGCGCGGAAGCAAAAATTACGTGTTTGGTGAAAAAGTTGGCTGATAAGCCTGATAAGCCGATAAACAGTGTTACCAAACGGCCTCTTAATCTTTTGGAAATAACGCTAAGATGTTGTTTATGTTGGGATAAAAAACAGTAATCAACACCTAACAAGCATTCAAAATTCTCCAACTGTTTGAGCATATTTTTAACTAGGGGTGGGCATTTCGGTTTTCGGTTCGGTTTTCTTCGGTTTGAAAGAGACGAGTCTACCGAGTCCGAAGAAGTTAAAGAGGAGGACAGTGATCAGCATTTGAGCAGAGCTATCCGTTTCCTTCAAGGTGTGGAGATTTAGCCTAATGTATTTTTTGAATGTATGAGTAGTTAATTGAATGTATCTCCCCAGATAAAAAAAGGGAAAATTACTATTAACTCCCTGAAGTTATGTCATAATTATTAATGCAACCTTTCATTTTCAAAATTCAATTAGTTACCCCTCACATTTGATCATTCTGACTATATGCCTCCCCACATGTTAATATTTGTTAAATTCAATTAAATATAACTCTTAAAATCAATGAAAATTATCTAAAAATGAATTTTAAAAGTAAAATACAATTAATTATCATAATTATAAATCATTAATGAAGGATTAATCAGTATAAATCAATTAGTTATAAATCAATATTTTTGTACTTAGCTACTCGATTGTGGAATAAATATTAATGAACGTAGTTAAGGTAGAAGACTCACGAGTCACGAGCTGAGTAATATTCATGAGATATATCAAAGAAAGTTGTTTGAAATATTGTGATCAAAATTCTAGACACCTCTTCATCATGAATATAAAAGTCTTATTTTCATCAGGCTGAATTAATCTCAATGACATTTATTTCGTGTGTATAAAATTCGTTATATTTTATATCTTACTCGTGAGTATTTTCTCTTCAATGCATTCATTAATATTTATTCCATGATCGAGTAATAATTAAAAAAATAACAATCAACAACAATAACTTATAATTATGATATTAAATTGTATTTTACTTTAAAGTTTAATGTTATAGACAACTTTCATTAAAAGGTATATTGAATTTAATTTGACAAATATTAACGTAAGGGGGCAAACGGTGAGAATGATAAAAACTCAAGGGTTAAGTAATTGATTTTAAAAAATGCAAGGTTGAATTAATAATTATGACATAACCTCAGGGGGGCAAATAGTTATTTACCCTAAAAAAATTGAATGTACTTGCACGGTTGCACCAATATGGATGGTATACTTCATGATAGTGTGGTGTTAACTCTATTGTGTAGGGAAGGGTGAACCGGAGGATTTAAAGTTGGTGGAGTGTAAAGCATATTTAAGAAAGAATGGGTTAAGATTATCTCGGACTAAGGAACAATGTGTGGAGAGGAATTTTAACGTCTATAGTCACGAAAATCTTTTCCCAAGCTTCTCTTATTTGGGAAGTTTGGGTTACAATTGCTTTCATACTATCTAATGCACGGTTTTCTTATTTCATTCAAAGCTGAAATATGTGATATATATGAAGAAATCATGTAATAGAGTCATGTCTAGAATTGTATAGTAAAAATCTTAATTGTTAAATAAGATTTGATATAAAATTAAAATAGGCAGATAGAAATCATCAAACCAAGTGTGAAGTGTGGCCGGAGCTCGGAGGAGACGAGGTCACTGGGATAAGGAGGATTATCTGAATAGCAGAAGAGTGAATGCTGAACGGAGTGAGGCAGACGCAACCCGGCGGTCGGTTCCTTCTTCCTTGGCGCAGGGGCGTTCGCGGTTCGTCGGAAGCTGAATAGGCTTTTGAAATAATGATCCCAATATTACACCCTATGTTTCTAATGACAAATATATGACTACTTTTTTATTTTCCAAAAAACTAACCCAATTAATAATGACTAGGCCCAAATGTCCCTGGAATGACCTACCCGTTCTACTCCCCTGCTACATGGACGGACAATGAGGTCTTCAGATGCAATCCATCCACTCTCTCGCCGGTAACCTAGAGCCGCCGCCTACCTTCTACCGCGCATCCAGCCGCCGCTCATGCCTCCCACCGCGCACCATCTGTCTTCGTTCTATAGCCCAACCGCTACCGCCGATGTTGCCCAGCTGCTACGCTGCCTTCGTCGCCGCACTTCCTTCGCATCCGCCGCCGCAGCTTTCCAATCTTCTTCTTCTCTTTTTTCTCCAGCTAGAACACTGATTTGACAATTATTTCAGTCATCTTCATCGCTCGATCTATTGGTGTAAGAAGTGGCTACAAATTGGCGACGATGGCAGATTTGATGTGTGCGCTACCAATCGAGGCTACTGGTGGGCAGGGTGTGCGCGCGAGGTTGGAGAAAATTGAGCTGACTGATTGGGGGGTGACAGTGGCGGTGGGTGGAACTCCAACTCTGGGAGGTGTTGAGGCCATTGCAACGGGAAGGAGGAGGAGTTTGGGCTGAGGTGCGGTGGTTGGGTGACTGGAAAGGTGGCTGGGGAGGCTGGCCGCTGGAAAGGGCAAGGGTGAGTGAGGTGGTCAATTACGGAGTGGTTGGTTATTGGGGGTGGCAGCGGCGGTTCACTGGCGTATTGCTGGGGTTCCGGCGGTTGCCGACAGTGGTGGTTGACTGTTTTAGGCCGGTGGTAGCCGTAGATGACCGGCAGGCTGTGGCCGGAAAATTTTCCGACGCCATAGTGACACGTTTCACGGCGATAGTGACATCCTAAAGTGACACGAAATCTGATAGTGACATTCAAAAGTGACATAAATATCTGATAGTGACATACAACTGTGACATACTGTCAGTGACATCATGTTTTTCCAAATAAGTGACCTTCTTAGTCACATTTTTGTCCTATTTTAAAAATGGCCACTTTTTAGGAAGCACGCATCCGTATTGTATTTTTCAGTCAATATATTGTATTCCTTGCCTGTTGGGCTGAACAATAATACAATATTAGTTTTAGGGCTACAAAATTAGCCTATTGACACATACTACAGAAAATTAAATGTGGGCCTAGTTTTTTTTGCATAGGCCACCATCCCGGCGTTCCCTGCCCCACCAGGACCGCCCCTTAAAAACTCTAAAATGATCATTACAATAAATTCAGTCAATTCAGCTAAAAAGTAACTTCAATCTTGAGTAAAACGGAGTACATATTTTGATTTTTATACAATGCAGCGCGTGAAATTAAAAGTAATGTGTTTGGTGAAAACAATTGGCTTAATAAGCTGAAAAATATTATCACCAAACACTCAAATAGGATCCAAAAAATTGGCTAATAATGCACTTATTATTGATTACTCATACACATACGGACATACCTCCACATCAGGCAGTATGATTGAGCCTAAAGTGGTGAAGCCAAAAGGGCGATGTCCGCCCCGTAAAGCCCGATGGAAAGCTGAACCGAAATATCTGAAGTCTTGGTTGGGCCAATCAGTGCAGGGATGTGGCAGCCGACAGGACCATCCTTACAAGATCTGAGGCTGCGTCGGACCAGCTCTATAAGATTGTATGCTATTTGTATCAGTGTCGTGTCTAAAAGTTTAAATATGAACTTTGACGATAAGAAAAACGGTGTTTAGAATCTGTTAATATCATTTTTCCTTGTGCCAGTGTCGTCAATAAAATACACTTACCATATTTTCTTACATATCGACTTAGTAAAACACTAATTGAATTATTATAAGCACCGTTTTCCTTTGATTTTTTCCTTAAATAATTATGAAATTAAAAAATACACAATTTCAATGTTAAATAATATAATTAGTGAAATCAATAATTGTGAAATGCAAATTGAAAGACATGCATAATTGCAATGGACATATTTAAACATATGTGAAACTAAAAACACAACGCATTACGAAATTCAAATAACAATACACGGATAACCAGTAATCAAACTAGGGACGATAGGCATGTTCTTATGAGGAAGTGTCGTTTGGAACATCACTTGGAGCATTTGAGAATACCTCATGATTTCATCTTGTTGTTACCTAATCCACTTATGTTTTCTCATCGAAAAATTTCGAAAGGTCCGCGAAAAGGAAGTCAAGGTTGTTCCTCTTAATCTTTGATTGTATAAATGTGTTTTGTAGCTCATTGCGCACAACTCTTCTTACATATTGTTCCCTTCCTTGTTTGATAATCTATTTGGACGCATTTTCTTTCCACTTCTATTCACCTTTTGTTTGTCTTGGCCTTCGGGGCATTGAATTGAGCCACTACCACATATGAGGAAGAGCTAACACTACCACCTTCGAACATCAGCGAATCTCTCGGTTGTTGAGATGCGATCAAAGTTACCGGAGCTTCGTATTGCTGGCGCCAATTTGGAAACGAGTGGAGGGTACGTCAAACGTGCTCAAATTTGAATGGTTGAGTTGCCATGCTTATCAATCATGAAAAATGACTTTAGCTTGATAGTCATGGAATATCAACCAAGAAATGTGTAAAATATATTACTTGTATACCTACGTAAAATTAAGTAAAAATTTTATATTACTACCTTCGTCCCGATGGATTTTGTCAAGTGCAGTGTAGGTGAGAAATAAGAATGGTAAATATTGTGTGGTTGAGATTTGTGCAGAGGAGAGAGAAATGTGCAGAACAAAGCATTC